TGTGTAAAATTTGGATGTTTTGTGTTCTGATGACACAGTGCTGAGTTTTTTAAGCATTAAGGCCTTTATGTACGACTGCTTGATAATGCGGTGATTACAGTCGCAATTAGTGGCCATAATTTGCAATATTATGGCCTAGTCCATAATGGTAACGTAAAACGGTCGCCTGTCAATGTGACAGTCGTACTTAGGTGTCAATCCAAGGTAAATTCAAGTATTTTAGAAATACTTGACAAATGCTTGACATCTGTTGTCAATGATATATAGATTTTATCGTTTATTGAATTCCATGAAATTTTCATTATTATGGGTTGTTGCAGTCGTACATATAGCTTTGTATATATCGCGTCCATAAATAGGCTTTATGGGGACTCGCCTTGTTTATTTGTGCCTCGCTCGCAAGCTCGCTCGGCTAAATAATCGGCTCGTCCATAAAGACCCAGTTTATATACTTGATATATAAATAGCTATTATGTGATTTCGTATTAAATCATTAAACAAGCGTATGGTTACTCAATACAATATTTTTTAAATGGGAACACCCTCTTAAGACTATATTTTCACGTATTTTGAAAGAAAATGAAATTTTATTAGAGCTATTACGAGAGCTATTAAGTAAGTTAAATAAACATCATGTTTACAGTTTCCTGTATTATAAGGGCCTTTGTATCGGTCGAGAGCAAAATGTAGGTCATAATTCTTTTGTGTATAAATTTAGCTAGCTTTCCTTTGTCACTGCAATTTTTTATTGCAATTACATTAATTTACATTGAATGTTTACTACTTTACAGCTCTGTTATGGGTTAAAAACTCCCCCCCCCCCCTCCCAGCTTTCAACGGTTTTAAAAGTTACTTCTTTCTATCATATTTCTATACTAAATTGTACTCTTAAAGTGCGAATAGTTCCCCACACAGTTCGCATATTACGGAAGCATTACAAGTGTTACTGGCAATAAAATGCTAAATACTGCCGAAACGACATTATTTTGCTTGGTGGATGACCCCTCGGATGGGGGCGAGGTTTGACGAACACACACAGCACTTGTGGCACTTGCTTATGGAAGTTAATCGAGCGTCAACATAGCACCCGAGGCGGCGAAAAGGGGAGCATGTCGGCATGTGTAAAGGGTGTTCCAAATTGCTTGTTTCCATGATACTACAACTTGTAGTATCATGCTTGTTTTCGATGTTTTTGGGGGGTATTTTGAGATACGAGTCTTTAGTATTTTAATCTCGATTTTAATAGAAGTTAGCTCGGAAGTTAGTCTCTGTAATCCATATAAATCGATCTAAAGTCGGATTTATATAGGATTTGAAATGAATAAGATAAATACTATTCTATGAAAATAGTGTTATTTTGAACATTTCCTGAAATATGAATTATATTCCACGGCCTACTTGTATTCAATCCACATTTCAAAAGTAATTAACGGTTTTCCCTATTTATCTCAATTTTTTTCTTCAAACATCCTGATAGCTATACACGAGGCTATACAGGGTGAGTTTTTTTTTCATTTCAAGCATTGGTATCTCGGAAACCAGACATACGGATTCGGTTAAATGAGGAAAGAGTTGTCGTTTTAAGAGATTATTTAAGATATGCTTTTGTATTTTGAAAAAAATCCACAGTTCACTAGATATGACCCAAAAACAGATTTAGTGATTTTGGTGCTGTATCTTAAAAACTTAGCAGACTATGGTAAATATAAAAATGCCTGCTGACCAAGAGACTATTTTTCCAAAACGTTAATTCTTTACATTATTGGAATAGAAAATGTTCCCTAACTATAGTAGTTTTAAATTAGTAAATCAATAGGATCCGCAGCTAAATCATATATCCAATAAAAACCATTGGTGTAATAGGTACATATTAGACACAAAACAGAAAACGAAATTAATAGCACTATATTACAAAATTTGCTATGGTTAGCACATATACCACCCGCACACCGGCGCATGCGTGTTCTACCTTCTCTTAGGTCTAACAATATGTGTACCAAATTTGGTTCATGCGCTATTCTCCCCGAAAGCTTTTCAGCTCTTCCTTTTATACCTAAGAATATGTGTACCAAATTTGGTTACAGTAACAGTACACTACAGACAGACCGACATCATCAAAATTTTGTTGGATTCGGAATCCTGTTGCTTCAAAACGTGTATTTCCGTAAAAAAAGTGGAGAGGGGGGTCATTTTTTACCCCAAGCAATACCTCCATTACTAACGTGCGGGTGATAAAAATTACAGTGCGTAGGGCAAATTCGAGGGCAAATTGTAACATTAAACTGTTTCTGCATAATTTTTCTACTCAAAACTATATAACAAATTACCAACCATAATGTTATTGATTACAATGTTTAATGTAGAGTAGGGTAAAACCTCGGGTAAAACAATGTAATTATTTCGAAAGAATAAAAATTCCTCTTACGTGATGGTTTTGTCTGCCTGTGCGTCTGTTCCTCGTCTAACTCAAGAACGAAAAGACACAGCGATGTCAAATCTTCGCCAATCGATTTCTACGAGTTCAAAAATCATTGCTATTGAATATGAGCTGGATGAAAAGTCTGGTTTCCCAATACGAGCTGGGTAACAAAAAATTCCCCTACTGAATCGTTTGCGATTCTTCGTATATTCATCACTTTATGTGCATCTATTCCATAACAAGTTAAAAACGTGGTCACTCGCGACCGACGAAAGCGCATTTTCCCCGCACAAAATCAGTGATAGCTCGGGAAGGAAGTGACTAATTCAAAAAGTCTTTTGTCGTTCTGGCCTCGAGGCTGTGCTACACCGTATAAGAAAGAAAGCACAACGAAAAAGCTTAAAGTGGACGACTAGTAATGGTAAATACGGACAAAGTGCGGACAATAGCGTTCGTTTTCCTTTTGGAAAATGCGCTAAAAAGCGCCTAACCGAAATATGTAAGTGACATAACAATATTGTCATGGATGTTTTTCCAAAATGAACAGCCATCCTGCGGTCTTCGGTTAATTTAATCTCTATAGTCTATACAATATGGCAACTTTATGGAAATTGAGGTAACTCAATAAGGTTATAAAACGTTTACCTACTTTTGCTTTGTCACTGAACAGCGATGGGACAGAAAAAGGTGGCTGTGTTTTGGTTTTATTGTGAGCTTTCAACATTTTCTAAAACGGATTAGGTGATTTCTCAAATCCCACGGAGGGGCCCGGGCCCCTCCTTGCCCTTTAGTAGCGGCGCCCATGCAATTGGGGTCAATTATTCGCAACAACACTGTTCTCTATTTACTGAGTATATAATATACAACTCTGTGGTACCTACCAAGCTATTAATTTGGTCGCGAATGGGACAAGTCACAAGAGGGGGGGGGGGATGTATGAGGGTTGAGGGTGAAATGTTGGGGGGCCGCCCCGAACGGAAACTACTCCGCCACTGCATAGCGAACCCCTAATTTTTTTTGTCAAATCTAGGATGGCGCTAGCTGAATTCAGAGTGGCGTTCGCTATACAGGGTGGTGCTTGCGTAACGCATCATAACATGCGATTATTGGCTCCCCAAATTATTTTAGAGCAAACATGTATTAAGGTTTTTTGTAGACACGTAAATCAAGCGTATTAGTTTTTAATTTTTTGCATAATAAAGCCGGAAAATTGGAAAAATAAAACCCCCATTTTTTTAATAATCTGTAATGCCATGGAATTTTATAATACAAAAACTACGCTCGAACTACGCCAATATCCGTCATGCCATGGAATGTCGGCTATAAAACAAATCAAATTCTATCAAAAAGTATTATATTTAGAACAGCGAATTCAACACAAAGAAAGACCAAATTACTAAAAACGGTTTCCTAATATATCTGCAATACAGTAACCAAGTCGATCATAAAATCCATTTCGAATTGCTACTAATTGACAACTGGATATCTTTTTGTTTTAGAAAATTCCATGGCATCGCAGATTATTGAAAAAGATGCGGGTTTTATTTTTCCAATTTTCCGTCTTTATTATGCAAAAAATTTAAAACTAATACGGTTGATTGGCGTAAAAAAAATTTTTCTACAAAAAACTTTAATACATTTTTGTTCTAAAATAATTTGGGGAGCCAATAATCGCATGTTATGAATTTTACATTGAAATCCCTATCCCTATCGCTTATCGCATCGCTCCAGTGGGAACCGCGCCTTACGCAAGTCACCACCCTGTACAGAGATGATTCATCTTACCAATAACCGAATTTTATTTTTAGCGGCCCTATTGCAAGGTGAGGTGCGTAGAACTAATACTATCCAGCTCTTTGTCACATTTCAAATACCAATTCCGACCAATTCCATAGATACCACGAAGAATTATTCATTTACTCTATCACATTTATTTAAACGTTTATTTATAATTTGTTAAATAAACTTCCTTTGGTGATTATCAAACTTAACGTAAAGTAATTCTTCTAGGAACTCGTATGTGATTTTGTGATATATGGTAATTAGGTATAGGTACATCATCATCAGTAACATGTGACTTTTGAGACAGTTTATTTATACTATTGAAGTCGCGAATTGACAAAATGATTATGTTCTAGGCGAAAAGAACATTAATTAAACATGACGAGCGACACAGGTTGTTTGCACAAGACGAGTAAATATCAGAATATACATTAATTAAAAGTTGTGTTGAATTACTTGTGTTAATTTGCTACAATTAAGAACTTCGCCAAAATAATTCGCAATAATGAAAGGAATTTTCTTTACAGGGTTCATACGTGAGGACATATCGCACCTGATTTGTAATATACAAATCTGTTGCGTCATTTCTGGAGAACCGCATGATATTATACGACAATCGATAAACCAGTTTGTACTTTTGGCTTACTTATTATAAATAGGAGCGCTAGCAAAAAGCGTACGAACTTTAAAATCTGAGAGCACGTGGCGCCCGTCCTTGAAGATTTTTACTACAAGCCGGTCGGCGTCTCTACGACCGGTGAAAAATCATGACGCAACAACACGCTGAATTTCTACTCACCTAATTCAGCATAGCAAAGAGCGCCAATCATTGATAGCAGTCCCGATAAGACCCATACGATCAACGCCTGTCCTACTGATCCAGAATATTTGAGTACTCCCTTTGGCGAGACAAATATTCCCGCTCCGATTATAATACCGACGATAATTGCGACCCCGTTAATGAGCGATAGTTCCTTCTTCATTTTAACACCGGGCCCCGAACTGGAAGAAATTGACTCAACACTGTCTGTCCTTTGTTTTGACATTTTAATTCACAAAAGTAACTTTCTAATTAAAAGAAGAAGGTTTGGCGCCAGGAAGCACGGGCTTACAACTGAACGGCGGCGGCCGGCTGGTCGGTTTTACGCTTACTGTAACGACGACGGTTTCTGCATAAATGCCCCCACTACACTTCCTGAAGTAGTTTTTAGTGAATGAAATCGAGCTAAGTACCTCAGGCTATCGTCAATTGCTCGTTTTAATTTACAATCAACCCCTCCACACAGCATCCTGTATAAAATTGCGATAGTAATTTGTTGAGGAGTTTTGTATATATAACAGGATGCCACTTGATATCGCTCCTTTTTAAGAATGAAAGGACGATAGAAATAGTGAGTTTAGGAAAACCTGCGCGTTTTTTAAAAAAAGTGGAAGTAGATTGCGATATCGCATATATTATTTATTTATTTATGGCAAATCTGACTACCTGCATTAATTTTCTATCACTTATTCCCTGCTATGAAAGTATGAATTTGAAGGATTAAATTTATTGGGCAATGTCAATGGCCTAGCGAAGTTGTCTTCTTCAAATTATTGTCACTTACTCCCACACGCCTTACCAGGAATATTGTTATACAATACGTGCAATGAAACGAATGAAGGATAGGTATGTTATATGTTAAATACCTGGATTCCGTCAACGGGGTATCGGAATATTATTGGCGGCTAGGCTTGTGGTTGTGGTGTTAGTTCCGTTAGGTAGTAAAGTAAATGTAGATAGTTACAGAATACGGCAAGAATTACACTGCCTTCCTAGCTTTTTACTCACCACATTTTAAAGTCTAAAATTTATTTAGTACAATACTACAATATGACTATAATTTTACTCTATCCCTAGCGGACCGTACGTAATTACTTGAAGAAAAAATGACAGCGTCTTGGAAAGAGCCCAACTCTGGACACTGCTAAAGTGCTAACAAAAAGCTATAAGTATACCTATGGTACCTAGTAGGTTATAGGTACTAGCTAGCTAAACCCGACTTGTTTTGCTGATATATCATTATTTCGTACTCATTTTGAATTGTTTTTAGTTTTGTTTGCCGAAGGTCACATGATATATGCGCTCTCATACATAGCGAAAAATCATGGAAGGCAGATACTGTACACTTTTGTGCTAAGTTTACAAAGTTACAAATTTGGAGTTGCTAACAGCAATGGGTGCAAGAAATTTCACAGTTCCGAGGATATAGAGGTTTGCTATGCTATAGTCACAATCCAAAGTAACCGAGCTGTTGATATTACATCATATTGTGCTAATTTTCCCCAACAGGGGAAGTAACCATTGTAGACACTTTGTCTGTTGTTTTAATATAACACGTTTTTTGAAACGATTTTTTTGTTTTAGGAAGAAGAGATGATTTTTTGTCACATATATTTATATTGTTTTCAACAACAATATAGGTCGACCTTCAATATTGTATTCCAGACTAACGGATCGTTCTCAGCGTAACGGAGTGTCCGCGTGCGCGTAAAGGAGCCTCAAGAAAATCTTCTCATTACGTCCTTTTGTAAAACAAGCGTTATCGCGATCTACTTCCACTTTTTTTAAAAAACGCGCAGGTTTTCCTAAACTCACTATTTCTATCGTACTATTAAAACACATGTCCTATCACGTAAACAAAATGTTTATTTTTTTTATAGAAATATATTTAATTAATAATTCCTAAAGATAAGGAATTGAACCTGCAATTTTATCATTTTTCAATGTCTTAATCAAATAAAATAAAAGCAATAATTTCGAATTATTATCTAATATAATGGCTCAATTTAATAACAAAGACCATAGCCTACTCAGTGTTTCTAATAAAACATAAAAAATTAATGAAAATCCTACATTCCTAGTTCCTTTGTTGGTGTGACTGAGATATAATTAAACTATTTCTAAAACATTTCATTTTAATTACCTATATCACTTTCCAGACAAAAGCTAGAGCACAGATGGCAAGGCGGATGGAAAGAGATATTCTGTCGAACCCATTGCTATAAGGAACCTTTCACCCAAATTTCACTAAAACCAAGAAGCAAGACATCGACGAAAGGACGGGCAAGCGGATAGAGATGTAATGTCGTATCGTATGATACCTATTATAACCTTATATATAAAGCACTGCAGTCTACCATAATTTCGCTGCTATATGGAAGCTTTTACCAAAAATTTGGAAAAAGGGAATTTCGAGATCACTGCAGGAAGTATAGCAACTTTATAGACACAGTCGGGATAACAGTGTCTAATTTTTGATTGGTTGTCGGCGGCCATGTTGCATGGGGAATATATTGCTATGTAATTTGTAAACCAGGGGGATATGCCCTTTAGGTCGAACTAATGCTAACATAGCTAACGCAGCGTATGAGAATAACAAGCGGCGTACCTTGTAATTAATTTTTTATTAAAAGTAATTACGAAATCTTGTGGAATTCATTGCAAATGGGCACATAATTGTTGAGTTTTATTTAATTTTAGTCGTAGTTGTATTTAGAATTTAGTAGGTTGTAATTGTTCTTTGTTGTAATTCAACACGTAGAAGAATGTATTGTGTCTTTACGAAAATCAGTTAACAGATGCTTGATAAGGAGACTTTTATCAAAGTAAAATTTAATTGAATGAGATAAGCGACGGCACAGGTGTGAGGTTTAGAGATAAACAAGTGCTTGTTTTTCGTCGGACTTATCGATCTAACGTGGCGGTTTCGGGTCATTTGACTTAGCGTACGTAACAGTCAGTTGCGTGTAAATTTTCAAAATATGATTTTTCTGGCGGTAGGCCGATGTTTTGAAATTTTTATCGGTTGTCAGTTAAAATTGAAGAAGAGTTGTTACAAGAGTTAGTGAGCGCGTGTGTAGTTACAATTTATAGAAGAGGAGTTTTTGTCAATGTTAAAGTTTGTACCCGAGCTGCCATTTTTAAATATGTCAATCAATATATGGAACCAGTGTTGGTGATATAGAAAAAGTAAGTAGAAAGTTTGTGTACGCGGTTGTGCTTTTTTTATGTTTGAGATGTCTTGGTGTAACACGCGTTACATTATGACGTTCATAAACGAACTTGTATTAACAACAACACGGCTGTGTAACAATGGCATCTTAAAGGTGGGGTACAGATATAATGAGTATGAAATTCTTCGAATTCGAATAGTACATAAAGGGAAATAGTGTTTTATAAGCAACCATAATTCAAATGAGCAACTGATAGGATGATGCACCGCTTGAATATCTTCTCAACATCCATTTTCTGGTCCATTCTTTTTTATTTTAAGAATGAGAATTGTGAAAATCGCATTATGAAGCATTGCTGCGCCGGACGATATTGCCCGATCGGCATAATTTTGAGCAACGGTACCGGTTGGCCTGGGCTAACAGTCCACGGATTGCCGGGGAACAGAACGTAACTCGTGAGTATCGAGTTTAAGGTCATGCTCTGGAAACGGCGTAGCCAGCTGCCCAGCTGTCCCCTTCTCCTAAATAGTCGGGAAGTTGCAAACTTTGCAAACTCTCAAAATGTGTGCATCATTGTAGGTTGTATATACAACGTGGAATTCATCATACAGTCATACTTCACATATATCCACCAACTCTCTTGGGTTAACTAAACTCTAAAAGTGTTTATTATATTATCTTCAATTGTAACAGTTTGCGATTCCATTGGGAATACAGGTGGCTAAGGAAAAAGTTTATTGCGAGTCTGGCTTATAATAATTATATAGCCAGAAAGAAACCCAATAAGCATTAGTGAGAGAGACAGCAGCAATTAAATGATTTATAGCTTAATCAAAAGCGCTTTTAATTTGTTGTGTACTCTATCCCTCTTCGGTCTTCATTCTTTATAATGCTTATTGGGTTTCTTTCTAGCTTATTATAAGCATTGTATATAAGTCAAACTCGCAATAATTCTGTTTATACCTGTATATAATATTTATATTTTTTGCTATTCGCACTTATGTGAGCTGTATTCTCTCCTTAGACTTCGTTTTAGACTAGAAAAGATTCTCTATACTTATTTTTATAGGTATATGAGATTCTCTCGCTACTGGAGTATATTAACCTTTGATTAGGACTGAAAATACAATGGTATTATGCATGATTGATCGTGTCCATAACCATTGAAATAAGTATAATTACTTATTCAATGTCATAAGCGAAAGAATTAGTCAATGGATTCGTGAATACAAAAGATTGTATTTAGAAAAATTTGAATTAACCGGAATCAAGATTTTTGGCAACAGCGATACAATTTGAATTTTACCCGTTTGACAGTGACAGTTGGTCACATTGCAGTGTTTTAGGAGAACAACAGTAGGCACATAAGGGAGGTCGTATTTTAAATAGTGATCCGTTAACTTATTTCGATGTATTAATCAATACAAGCACTGGAATTTAAAGAAAACCCAATAAACTTACGTGAAATGTTTCTAAACATCGTTATTTTATTCGTCCTCTGACATGCATCGACTTTAAAATCCAAACGAATCTCGGCATTTTGACAGCTGCAAACGTCAGTCATGGAATTCGATCTAAGCAAAGAAAATATTCAACCCCTTCGCGGTGGCCGTAATGCTAGCCGGTTAGGAGTCGCACTGCAAGCACAAGGCAATGAGGAATTTCAAAGAGAGCTTATATCACAAAAAGAGTAAATAACACCTTGATACTATTCTTGGCCAATCTTACTCTCTTTTAACCCTTGTAGGAAATTTGAAAACCTTATTAGAAACTATCAAGGCAATGACCCGCTGGAAAACTGGTACCAGTACATTTGTTGGATAGAACAAAGTTATCCCAAACATGGACACGAAGGCAACTTGGTACAAGTACTAGAGGATTGTTTGACAAAATTCGAAAACGAAAAATGTTACATGAACGATTTTCGATTATGTAAATTGTGGATAAAATACGTATGTTTTTAGCTATTTTGTAAGCTTTGGTTTTATGTATGTCTGTGTCTAGAACGATTTACAACCAAATCCAGTCGAGTTGTATCAAATGATGCATTCGAAAGGGTTGTGTAAGGGCTGTGCTGATCTATATCGAGCATGGGCATATTATTACGAAGCAGCTGGCGACTATCGCAGTGCCGATTCGATTTTCCAACTTGGCAGAAGTGAATACGCTCAACCCCAGCAAGAATTAATAATGGCACATCAAAACATGATCTTTGCTGCTGGCCAACAAGTATTGTTGTGTCGCTATTCGAAATGCCGATTTGTACTAATTTTGTGTGTAGGTCATATCTGGTGTAAACGAGCAACGACTATTAGAACAGCGGCACGCTTTAACTACCCTCTGTCCATATGCGCCTGGTAAAGTAGGCAGTGAGCGTTCTATAAGCAGTGCCGGACCTGGCATAGTACCCAGTACATCGTCGAGTTCAAGATCAAACATTGGATTAAGTGTGTACGAAGACAGAGAGAATAGCGTAAGGGAGGTGGCAGCACCGCCTTCGAGTATTCTGAGTGTAGCTAAACGTCAAATTGCACCTAAAGAAAATGCTATTAAAGCCGGAATGTGGACTGCACCTCATTTGAAAGGTGTAGCCGCGCATACCTCTAGAATCCCAAAATTTCAAGGTTTGTAATTTTTTTATTCATCATTTCTGCTTTTTTTTGTGCTCTGAATATATTTTCAAATGTGCTACTGGAATTCACATTCAGATGGCAGCATTTAATGTTTTCATATACGAGAGTACCTAACTACATTGTTGACTGGATCACATGCATTTGTGGCGTATCGAATTCAATATCACGTGTAGTAAAATTAAAAAAAGGTGTAGTGCTCGGTGTAGTGTTAAATTGCAAAGGCAAGCAGTTAGTGTTAAATGTTTTTATTTGCCCAACAGTAACTAATTACCAAAAGTTACAATGGCAGTAGGATTGGCAACACTGTTATCCTATACCCATGCACTGCCATCTGAATATGAATTACACTATACAGGGTGGTGACTTGCGTAACGCATCATAGGGATTTCAATGTAAAATTCGTAACATGCGATTATTGGCTCCCCAAATTATTTTAGAGCAAAAATCTATTAAGGTTTTTTGTAGAAAAAAAATTTTTACGTCAATCAACCGTATTAGTTTCCAATTTTTTGTATAATAAAGACGGAAAACTGGAAAAATAAAACCCGCATCTTTTTCAATAATCTGTGATGCCATGGAATTTTCTAAAACAAAAAGATATCCAGTTATAAATTAACAGCAGTTCGAAATGGATTTTATGATCGACTTGGTTACTGTCTTGCAGTGAATGGTGACTTATTGGAACAATAAATTGTAAATTGTTATAACAGGAAACCGTTTTTAGTAATTTGGTCTTTCTTTATGTTGAATTCGCTGTTCTAAATATAATACTATTTTAATAGAATTTGATTTGTTTTATAGCAGACATTCCATGGCATGACGGATATTGGTGTAGTTTTTGTTTTATAAAATTCCATGGCATCACAGATTATTGAAAAAGATGGGGGTTTTATTTTTCCAAGTTTCCGTCTTTATTATACAAAAAATTGGAAACTAATACAGTTGATTGACGTAAAAACTTTTTTTCTACAAAAAACCTTAATAGATTTTTGCTCTAAAATAATTTGGGGAGCCAATAATCGCATGTTACGAATTTTACATTGAAATCCCTATGATGCGTTACGCAAGTCACCACCCTGTATAGTTCGTTTCACCAATAATTTAACATTTCTCATTAGGTCGTTAAGTAGCGGGATTTCCCACTGTGACATTTAAAACAATAGGACAATAACCCCCATTTAACTAAAAGTCAGCGGTTCTCAATAAAATTTTAATGTTTCAAACGCCAAATTGTAGTGCTCGTATAAATCGTCCCATTTCCTTAATAATCGATATATTTAAAATGTAGTTCCTTAAGGAATGCGTCGATAGGACATTAACGACAATAATCGTGTTGATACCATATTAATGTATTAATTAAATAGGTGGACACATTCCAAGTAGTTTCCCCAATTCCAATTCGGCGTTTGAAACATTAAAATTTTATTGAGAACCGCTGACTTTTAGTTAAATGGGGGCTATTGTCCTATTGTTTTAAATGTCGCAGTGGGAATTCCCGCTAGTTAACGACCTAATGAGAAATGTTAAATTATTGGTGAAACGAACTATAGGTAGTTGTCATGATAAAACGGGAAATTTAAAATGGATTACCAATTATATGGTAATATTGTAAAAATAACTAATCAATTTGGGGATATATTGCGCTATGTGTGGCGACACTGTTAGAAAGAAACAAAACTAGGGTAGAACTTTCCTCTTTATCCTTTCAAGGTCAAACTTACGCCGAAACCGTCTATTTACCAATTTCAAATGTTTCAATTATTCTTCAGATGATAAAATTAGGCTTTAAAAACACATTATTTAAATATAGTGAATACTTAGTTGGTAAATACATAATAGTTTTAAACAGTGATACAGTAAATTAGCTATCAAATAGTACCTATCTTAATTTCTCCAAGAAGATATAAAAGTACAGTTCTTCTTGATGAAGTGCATTTATTTTTATTTTATTTATTTTTCATCTTATGCTATCTTTGGGTTTGTTTTTGGAGAAGCAATACTCTTAATAAGAGGGTACTTAAGTTGGCAACAATTATTAATCTTATTACACTTAAGATTTTAGATCATTACCTTAATCTGATAATTTTCTTGTTGGTAAAAATTAACAGCTTTTTATAGTGTGAACTTTTATTTGAGCGAATGCAACATTCGCTATTTCTTGATGTGGATAAGACAACTTTGTGTGAAGGGTGTCTTTGTACAGTCTTTGGAGAAGAATTCCGAATTCGGATAAATTGGGGCTCATCCAAATCAGAACTCCCGTAACCTCAATCTTCTCAAGTATTTTTCTTATGACAATAGTAATGCATTTGTTTAAAATATTGTTTCTACCGTCAGCCATTTTTATTGATTGGTATCAGTTGCCTTAATTACCATGCATGCGGTTAAACAAATCAAAATCTCCATGAATCCACGGCCTACTGTAAATCGAGCTGTAAATAGTAAAAAAATGTTTTCATGGCCATGATTTAAAAAAAAAATACGTTGTGATACATCAATATAATCAGGAAAAAAAATGAAAACCAATTGACGTTAAGATATACAGGGTATTGCATTTAAAAAATACCAACATTGGGTTAAATCTACGTCACTGGTTTCTTTATCAAATATCTAATCTATACAAATTCTAATCAATAAAAACCATTATTATTATTAAAATAGGGAGCTTTTACTTTTTTTCTGTCTTACATGGGTAGTAAAATAGGATAACATCCCAAAAAGTCAAACTTTACGTTTTCAGCACTCTGTATCTCAGAAACAAATGTAGCTAGTGGCAAAATTTAGATGATTTAAATACGGTTCGATTGCCAAAGTAAATTTACGGAAAAGTTCAAAATTACGGTACTTACGAAAATTTGCGAAGAACGCCGTTACCTTTTACAAAATTCCTACCATTTCATGGAGGGAACGACGGTTTTCCCAGCCTACACAGCGTATTCGATAGTTTTAGTTTACATCCAAAAATTAAAACTTGTACCCCTTCACAATTGCAATTAATACGACGCGCAGATAGTCGAAGCGGCTTAGGAAACCGCGCGTATTTTTTTAATTTTTGAGATGATGACAACTGTGCTTGTATAATTTTTCTTTTGCATTTTGTTTCAAATAAATGATGTTTAATAGTCGTCTGTGACTTACTAAATTCAAGCGACTTCTATAAACTTCGTTATTTAATTGTGCCGCCTGCGATAAACATAAAAATCTGTAATTGGTCTTCAAATTTATCTCAATTAAGCAATGAAACCACGCGACGACCGGTTCGGATGCGATTTACTGCAACTCATTTAATTGTTAATTACACTTACTTAATTTGCTGGATTAAAATTTCCAAATGCGGTAGCCCAGTAATGGCCATTGTTACTGGAATTTCGGGTCAATCTCAACAGGTCTGCAATATAATAAACTGCAAGACCTTGCAGCTCTAATGCTAATTTTAAATTAACTAAAATCATCTAATAATCACAAAAGATTGTTAGTCGTAATTCATTACTTTTTCATTCATCTCTTCTTTTTTTTTATTAACCTCAAAGAAATAATTATAGTGTTTTAAACAGTAACAATTAATGGCGCTTGAACAGTTCTTCCTGACAAGATTTCTTCTTATTTTAAAGACTTACACGAGTACCAAATAAGTAACTGTATCGTCTTATATGGTTCACGCTGATTGCAAATGTCTCACATTTTAGGCTAATTTCAAGAGATTAAAAATTTCTTTTCCATTAGTTCACGTTGACAGCGATGAAAAAAGAGGTCTTATACTGCCGGCGGAATTTTACCCTACGACCCACGAAGACTTCTCTTGTTGGAAACCTGTCTTGTGTTACGCCGAGCCGGACGATCCCCATAGATTTCCTATGTATCCCAAAGCCAAAGTGTACTGCAATCTGGAGACCGAATTCAGTATAGAAGAGATTAGGGCCGCACGGTACCTGCCACGTTCGAATGTTTCCTATGTCGAAACGGCGCAAGCTATTCAGTCCATATTGGGCGACGGCGTTAACACCAGCAAGCACAGGATGCACGATCTAACTCAGGTTTGTGTGGGAACTACGTTCCAAATTTCTTTATAAGTTGCTTGGTGTAGGAGGAACATTTATATGATCAAGGTGACGGAGACGGATTGCATCATATGTTTATGTCGGGCATGCAAGGGGATGTTGTCCAGCAGCCAATTTTACAAAATCATAATATTTACCAGCAGTTTGGATGTTTGCCAGAAATTCATCAAGAGGTGGTCAGTGAGCAATCTCTTCGTCACATGGAGGATAACAGAGTAAGTTTTTGTTGTCTGTTTACAGCACTTAAAGTGATAGGGCAATGTAAGGAACCTATAAATATTTTAGTTTTATTAATATCGATGGAGTTTTCTGTGAAAGAGGCAAGCCAAGGGATAGGTTTTACATTGGTATAACGATAATCTTAACCCCCTCCCCCTCCCCAAGTTTAAAATAGTGTTTAGGCACGGACCTCTTATAAAAAATGGGCTGCCAATCACACTATTATGATATCATAAAAATGTCCAACACATGTTAGACGCTATCGTGTGCTTTTTTAAGTTGGTCGTGACTGATTCTAATTAGTTTTATGTTGGTATAACTTGCGAAACTAACCTAGTTTATTTACTTAAAATTGTTGTTTATTAGAGAATATAGCATCTTCTGAATACTGACCAGTAGTATTACTGCTTTATCTTGTTTAATTACTGACAGTCACTATTTCATACAATTGAAAACAATTACGGAACATTCCCTATGCCTACTTCAGGCGTTATTTAATTACATAACCAAACTTTTTTAGCGGTAATTTATGTGTTTGTTTATCAATAGGGATCACCTCTAAAATTTAAAGGTTGTGACGTACCCAGGCCAGCCCCGAGAGACTGCGCAACTCAAGATTCAAAACTTTCCCTCCAAAACTAACTGAACCCCGTGGCACGTGATAGTCTAGACAAAGCTACCTAACCTGAATAACCGAATAATAGGACCATCTTACTACGTTGTGTTTTTAAAAATCGCTACAAGATATGTGTTGCCTGTCGGAGTGAGGATCAAGTAAGGAATACAAATAAAACAAGTACATGCTTTAAAAACGGAGATTTAATCCAAATACTTCGCATTGCATGATTAAATTTAGAAAATGGTAGTTCACAAATATAACAATAGGCTGGGAAAAAAAGAACTGACCAAGAAAAAACCCAGCCAACAAATTAATATTGAACTTTATAGGAAAATTAGTTGTCTGTAATGGCATGAATACATACATATTATGATTGTTGTTAAGTAAATTAAGATAATGTTGAATCACAGACTCCGCTGGAATTCCTAAGGAATCAATATTTCACACACATAACAAAAAACAATCGTTAAAACATTACAATAAATTCATATAATAGGTTTGGATATTGGATGGCCATTCCAAATCCCACACCGAGTAGTCTTTAGTTGCTCTGGTCATGACATGTCAACATTATATGAAATCGCTAGGAGTTGGTCTCTCAGAAGAGCATTTCACATAGGAAGGATACCTCAAATTGATAACAAAACAAAAGGTCACAACAAGAACACACCGCCCGCTTTTAGCGGATCTATGCGCAAGTGAGACCGGTCTTAGCCAGCAGCCTCATGTACAACTAAGCGGGACCACAACTCTTTCATTCACACGTCTCTAGGATCAGACCAACCCACTAGTTATAAAGTGCCGTGTTATAAATTACCGAACTCCAGGCTCTCTACCATGACTACTGACAGTAACCAATCAAAAGACAAATCATGACATAACAAAAATAACAGAGCAACACCATCGGCAAACTCGCACGCATACATAATCATAAATAAAATATACACAATTTATGTAGGCGTTGACAGTTGACATACCTATTTGCAGTGGCATAGCAAAGACTGACACAAAACCAATGTTCTGTCACTACATGTCAGGGATCAACTAATCGGATTGATTAGCAATATCGGCAAGATGGCTCTTTTCGAAGACACAAAAAAAAAACAATACATAAAATATATATCTCTGCGTATGTCAGTCCTAAACTTTAGCCAGCCTCTGCTACGTCAAATCGAGATTAAATATCGGTATCAAATATAGGACAGTAAATATTCGAAACAAGTCATCCTTGCCAAATATTAATAATCATAATCACCTGGTTCAAATAAATAGTAGGAGCATAACGTCAAGTATCACATTACAACAAAACAAAGGAACATGTCGTGGCAAACATTAGTATCAAGTAATTAATTCACAATGCCAAGTGCAATATGTAACAATCAACCACCTAACGTACGTCACTCGCCTCCAGATGAAGCACCCTGTAAATAAACAGTAGTATATTCGTGCAAACAAAAGCGAAATGTGCTGCAATAAATTCATTTATAAATTAAAATGTAGTTCTGCATGCTGTATTGAATATCATCCCTAAGGGAACATACTGTATCTAAATATAAATAAAAACACGTAAATCGGTCAGTAATTCATGTGGCCAGCGTTTGGAACAAAGGAGTACTGTAAATTGGAAAACAATATATTTATGTAGAATCTCTATGCATTTAATTTAAAGTATGAGTAGTACAACAAATTAAAAGTGCAATTTGTATTTAGAATGGGTTATAAATGGCAATAATCATGCTGAACTAGAATACCATTAAATTGGTAAATAATCTAACACGATCATATCATTGCTAGATGGATGCAATAGACGTAGAGATAAAAAAACGAGTTCATCACCTTTATAATTGTTGAAGCTGCAGTCACTATTCGCAACGTAAAAATTACTTCTGCCCTCAACAAAAGCACAAATACCTCTACCTAAATCTTCTTTTTAAGCAAATTCTAGACTAAAATTGTTAATATCGACCGCGCTCTGAGACGTCGATTCAATGTAGAGCAGGGAAGAAAAAAACACGTGTTCCACGGAAACGAAACAAAGCGCAATCTTGACTTTTTTCCGTCGCGCCAGGGTCGGTCTCGAGAATATTTAAATCGAATTTTAGCGGGCAAATTCGGTTCCATCACAGGGTCATAATTTTTTTACCTGTTAATTAATTTTAGGTTAATTTTGCAAGTTTGTCAATATAAAATTAATTATTATTTGTCACTACCAACTTAAGAAAACAGGCGATGGTGACTATCACGTATTAGTCCAATGTGGAATATATTGTATTGGCAGTTCGTTTTTTTAAGAGGTCCGTGTGTTTAGACATATACTGTATTCATTTTAAGAAGGTAGCGGTAGAAAGCATAGGGAAGCTTTGACCTTCAATGTGATTGGCTAAAACACGAGTCAGTATTACACTGAAACATAAAACGAGTGGCGAATTTTGTAAGCTGGTAGTTTATGTTGCCAACTAAACTGCCGAAGTGTCATTAGCTGTTAATGTCAAAGATTTATTTCTGTTCGCCGTACTGGATATTTCTTCTTTACAATAATTGGGTGCCGTTTTATATTTTTCCTGTGTGTGTTTACCTTCAAGCATAGCGCCATCTACTACCTTCTTATAATGAATGCAGTATAGTTACTCTATGGTTTAGATCAATTGCATGTTGGTTATTTGTGCAGTTTTCCTCTTTGTTCCTGCCTAAGTAATGGATAATAAAAGTGTGAACATTTCACTTTTTTTGCTATCTCTCTAGGAAATTTTGTTTGCACCCTAAAAAACAGAACATTTGGTGAAAAAGAGACACATTTAAAGTGGAACGTCGTTTCTATTTGCGTATCTTTTTAAAAATTCATTGAAATTGATCAATTCCATTTATTATAATTAATAAACGCGAGACTAAACGCCATCCAATTCCAAGAAACGTGGGCTTCACGTGATCGACAATTTCGTGAATTCCTATAGGTCGCGAAAAGTGAAAGCACAATCGCAATATCGCCGCTACTGTGCAAAGTGATCACGCGCCAGGCGGGTGGCGGTGTTTACGTTTAGTCATATTGGTGTTAATTAGACAGAGTTTAGATTCTCTTGCTTTCGTGCTGACACTTCTGATGAACCTTCTGCTTACCCTTTGTAACTTGTAGCTCATTTTAATAAATGGTAACTTGACGGGTGGCATTGGAGAGTTATTTCTAATCTGAAGTTTGGCGATTTTCCGACAGATGGTGGTTTCTCCCAAGCTATGTTTCCCTAGCTAGGCTATATTGATGTGATAGTTTCATGGTCTTTAAGAATATAAATCATTGTCGGGACTAATCTTAAGTCGTAATATCCTACAGATCTTTACATGACATGTATGGTGGGAAGAACGCCTTGTGTCATGTAGCAACATTTATTTTATCTATGGGAGTGTTCAGAACTAATTCTACCCATTTCCAAGCTGACGTTTTAAGGTAAGTAATCGTTTTACGCGTCTGTCATGTGTTTTACTGTTTGGCGCTCTACACATACTTATTATTGAACATGGTGTTCTAATTGGGATTGGTCTGGAATTTTTAGATTTTGCTAAGTATCTTAGATTACCATGAGATCTAGGTAAGTCATCAGAACAATAGTAGACCACCGCCAACCCACCTATATCGGATGCTGAATGTGAAAGAAAAATCTCATGTCGTCTAGTAGTTGTGTCTAAGTTGACTCTTTAGGGGAATCGTAACAGAAAGATGGAAAGTTTGTTTGGTCGTGCAGGACTCTTGCCTAGTGTGACCAGGGTAGTGAGCAGTTGGGGCATGCGAAACGCTTTAGGTCTTTGCTATCTACAAATAATTTAAATTTGCTTATTATAACCACACAGTTTTGTTAAATAGAAAAATAAATTGTTCATATTTATGACAGCAATACACAAAAAGAAGAAGCCGCCGTTGTTTGAACTTCTTTTGAAAAGTACCGAGATAGAAAAAGCTTCAGTCGATTTATTCCAAATTTTATTTTTTTTAAATATACAATGGTCCATTACTTTGTTCAACCATTGCATTTGCAAAAAACATAAACGTTGATACTTGCAAAGAGCAGAGGAAGCATAGTTGCAACATATGAGCGTGATTTTAAGATTTTTGTATAATTGAACAGAGATGCTTTTAATTTATATAGATATATATATAGTTTCTAAAAACTCTAGTTACTATGAGTGTGTAACTTTATTCTATGTTATTGTTTTTATTGTAGACTCGTAGACCAGAAGACAAAACAAGGATTTTTGGTCAAAACATGGAAGAGCCACTGATAACATTCCACACGTCAGCCCAAAACAAGATCGACCCTAATAACATCGATTTTGGCAATGAGATAAATGATCTTTGGGGATCAGCCATCAACGATACTTTAAGCGTGTCAGTTCACCCGCCTCAACATAAAAATGTATCAAAATTTTCTATCTACGAAGAATCGAAATATCAGGATCACTTGCAACCTAAAGGGAGCGCGATGAAGTCCGCTCCGTTTAAGGTGTTGAGCGACGAAGACTTGGCCGAGACCGGTTCGAGGGGAGGCCACGATATAGCGGCAGCTGCCCAACCTGGCGACGAGGCGAAAAGGATAGTTATTTTCGAAGATGAAAGCAGTTCGTCCATGACTGAGATGGCGGCACCACCGGTCTCGCGTTTTTCAGATTTAAACGCAACGTGCAACACGCAAGCTTTTAATTTTAATCTGAACGCCATGAAAGTTAGTACTCCACAAGCGAAACAAGTGCACATTTCTCCCACATCTTCTCTGGATGCTCCTCGCAAGCAATTATTTTCGGCGGAAATAGAGACGGGACCCGTCAAACTTGGTAATCGATGTTCTACTATTGTTGAGGAAACTTCTTCAAAAAGCTATGGGTATGTATACACACCTGTTAGCAATTACGAATTGTTAGTTATTGGGAACGAAAAGTCACAATTGTTTAAAAGATTAATGTAACTTAGACCTCGGATTAATGGTGGGTTTATTCAACGTATTTAATTTAATTTTTCATCCCTGAGTGTATAGGAACCACTCCAGTTTTTTGGCGCAGTTAGGCTTGGGAAAATTCCTATAAATTCAGATGGTAATTAACTAGATTTGATGCAGTTGTACAGCTAAATCCATGCAAAACGGTTCCTTGAAAATCAAACAAGAGGATTTGTTGGAATAAAAAAAAAATAATACACAGAGCATTAAGATTTGAACCAAACGGCAAAAGCCGGCGGAACGGTACGACAGTCTCGAGCGCTACCAGAGGTTGTTCCCTTGCCCCTGTAAGTCACCCAGATACCAACGATCGATCACTGGCGAAACCCTAAAAGAGAATTAAGGACACACGGGAAACTAACAATTTTTCAAGCGGGATCGGAAGCAAAACTATCGATATCTACTTCAGTGTTGAAAATATTAAAAGATCCCCTCTAATTGATTGACTACTCAGTACTTCATCCCCTCTAAATGATGTTCGTACCTTTTATAAAATTCCCCAAGTGCGGAAAGCGAAGGCTGGAAAATCCGTAACTAACTAGTCGCTCGAAAATTAAAACTTCTTTAATTAAGTGCTCATCTCCCTGACATCCTAAAAATCTTAAACATGTATAAAATATAAAGAAAATTCGCAGCTAAATTAAGTATAAATCACTTCCGCTGACGGACCGACTCGAGCGCCACCAAGAGATGCGGACTTGCCCCAGAACAAGGTTTCGGATTGGCTGCGAAACGGAAGCCACAGATAACGCGGAGCCCGGGCTCTAGGGATCTTGCAGGCAGCGGCGATTGGCTTCTGGCGAAACAACTGAAAGCAGAATTACAGCCCACAGACACAGTAGCGATTGCCCTAACGGAAACGCAAGCAACAAAGAACAAGTTAATTAGCGGTAGCTACGGGAAATCAAATGCAGGAAAGCGAAACAATATCCCCCCTAATAATTAATGGAACAGAATGTATCAAAAATTGATACGGTATTTACAAACGTCATTAGAAAAACACCAAAGGCAAAAAGACCAATGGTTTTAATACGGTACGGTTGCTAAAGTAAGTCTATGAAAAATTTCAAAATTTACGGTAGTTACGAAACGTTATTCGACATCAATCAAATAAGATGAAAGAAATATAGGCACTCAGAGCCAGAAAAACAGATACCAAGCAACACGCGAATTAACTATTAATAAAAGAAATCTTAATTACCTTAAAATGTTAGTAATCCTTACATCTGGCCAATTGCGATTGTTTTTACACAGACGCACTAACACAAATACCAAAATGATACTTCTGAGAACTGTACTTGACTGCACTTGAACCTCGATTTAGACGACAGTGCGTAGGTTGTAATTACTGTCGTAAAATGTAGCTATTTGATGATGGAAAATTCCCCTTAACAGGTACTGGGAAAGGCTTCATCAAAGCGATAAACGCACGCTAGTCCGACTACACTTCGTAAACGTAATACTTGACTGTCTGAAAATCGACTTTCTTTTATAACAAGAACTTTACGATTATAAAGACTGACTGTCTTTTTAAGTGGCAAGACGATTTGTCTTAAATAACAGCAAACTACCAACCACCAAAACAATAAGCAGCTACGTTCCAGCGTCCACCAAAACAAACAAGCCACAATTGACGTCCACCACCCAAAGCGCCACGATTAACGTTTGTCTTCTCTAGTTAAAACCATTACTCTTTTTTTAACTTTCTCCTTCATTTCCTTTACAAATTAAAGCGTCGTTGAACGATAAACGGCACCTGGATTTTCTTATCTTGAAACTAATTAGCTTACGCCGATAACTAAACTTCTTATCCACGAACGGAGATAAACTTTTACAAATCCTACGCAATTATTTTTAGATGTTTAAATCTAGTCTTGCATCATGTAATAAAATTATTGCACATCTTGTGTTCTCAGATGTGCCCCCGTGACTATATAACCCAAAATATAATTGTAGTATGCCCCATGGCACAATTGTCAAACTTGTGACTTTTCGTTGTTCATAAATCAGGAGTTGTTTGTTCCACACATAAAATATATTCCAAACCTTCTTCAATAAAATAAGAAATTATTATTTTCAGTTCGAGCAGTGGAGGTTCGATCAAATCAAATACATTCAACAACTCAAAAAGGGAAAACATGGCCATTAGAGCCGACGAAAGTAGCAGTTATCATTTCAATTTGGCGCAAAACTTACGAGCGAACGCTGCTTTACGAACCAGCGTTCTAGAAGTAATGGACTGCGAATCGGGACAGAACAGCCCTGTTACAGAGACTCCTATCGCCCCCTTAGAAACGGCACCATCCGATCCGTTCAAACCTGCTCTCCTAAAACAGCTGCTCAACCGAGTCGGATTCCCGGGACGTTACGACGGCAGTTATATTCAAATAAATTCGGTTCCTCGTATAACAGTGCGGAAAGAGGTAACCGTCATTGGTGAAGACAAATATCTGGTGAATACAAGACTGGGTGAAGGAACGTACGGCCAAGTTTACAAGGCACTAGATTTATGCACTAACCGAGCGGTCGCATTAAAATTACAAAAACCTCCAAATTGTTGGGAATACTATATTTGTAAGGAACTGCAAGTTCGTCTTGCAAAACATCCTCTGAAAGAATGCTTTATGGATATACAATTAGGTTACTTTAGTAAGTTTCTATAAACACCAAAGCCTTGTTTAATTGGACAAACTTTTAGGTGATCAAATATCAGTATTTGTCTCAGAATTCTGCCCAAGCGGATCACTACTCGATGTGGTCAATTCATTTAAAAGAAAGACAGGGTATACGATCAAACAATCGGTCTGCATGTACTTTTGTATCGAAATGCTTAAAATTGTCTCTGCCATGCATAAAGCCAAAATCATACATGCAGATATTAAGCCGGATAATTTTCTAGTCTACATCACGTCCGAATCGACTTTACAGCTTCAATTAATCGATTTCGGATGCAGCATAGATATGACGCTCTTTCCTCCAGGAACCAGTTTTCAACGTCGAATCACCACTAAAGACTTTATTTGCTGCGAAATGCAAGACGGTCGTCCGTGGAGCTACCATACTGATTTGTTTTGTGTTGCGGCAACCGTTCACGTATTGCTGTTCGATAAATACATGCAACTGCAGAAAAATGGTGCTCACTGGTCCATCACCCAACGGTTTTCCAGATACATGAGGCAGGATTTGTGGAACGAATTTTTCAGTAGGCTACTAAATCAACAAGATGGGCCGGCCAATCCGGATAAGCTAGTAGAAATTATGAACGACGGTATAAATAAAGGGAGAGACGAATTAAATATGGAGATGCGTAAATTAGTAAACATACTTAGCAATCGATAGTTACGTAAAATAATTTCTTTAAATAAATGTAACTTATATTTTGATCTGTTTCGCTTTAAACGAAAACAAACAATTTGGAGCATACAATGTAATCGACAACAAATTGAAATTTATTTGAATAATTGTAACGAACGTTACATTGCAGTTTTAATATAGCGTAGCAGTGACTTCATGATTAAAGTTATTTACTATCGGTAAATATTATATGTTTCGCTTTTTTACTTTCATTTAGATCGACAATGGTTTGTTTTAATAGAAGGTGAATTTGCATTTCACTGCAATGAACAGTAATTTTAAACAAATGCCGCTTCATAATTTTACTAAAATTGTTTTTTTTTCAAGTGTTAAAATAAATGAATTATTTGAAACTGAATAAATCCGATTTAAGAAGTTCGATGTTTGTTTTATTGCTGTCGTCTAGGCAAAGCTACCTAACCTGAACAACAAAATACTAGGACCACTACAAGTCATCGAGTAGAAGTAGAAATAGGATGGGGAAAAAAAGAACTCCCCAGGAAAAAACCATCCAACAAACATACATAACATAAACTAAATATATAGCTTCGGTAGGCTCAGACACAATTGCCTAGGCTTACTTAGCCAAATGCCTACATAAAAAATCAGATAAGTAATGATACATCTAAGGACTTATTTACCTAAGCGTTAAAGCCAAACGTGCCCCGGGTGAAATAGGCTCTCGAAAACTGTTTTTCACTATTGGCGGACCTATCCACGTTAGCAGCAAGTCAAACTGAGCGGTAGTAAGCCTTGTATAATTAAAAAATTGCTCGGGATCTTGAAATCGCATTTCTTGAATGAGATTGTGGTAATCCCCCTGATTTATGCGATTTTGGTTTATCGGTCTGACCCACCACCTTCTTGTTTTTCTTTTATTTAAATATAGGTATAGGAGACCTAATCCTAAAGTGGCAAGATACTTATTCCTGTTCGCCATATTCATTGTGTATGTAAACAAAATCACAACAAAAAATACATGGTTATGTTGGCTGTCATATAAAAGCACGCATGCGCACCTCTGTTCATTTCCGTAAAATTAAGCGGCAAAGTTTGCAGTTTGCAAACTTCTGCGTTAAGTATTAATTTCGACGATTAATTTTTTATATTGTGAATGTTGCCCTTAAAATACATAACTTTAAACATTTATGTTAATTTTCGATTGTTAATTGTGGGTATTAATTTTGAGGTTGTGAATGCTACTTAAATGTATTTTGATTTCTTAATAATACAAGTAGAACCTGGTCTCCTCATTATATGTATGTACCTACTTACATATAAATATATCTATGTGTATGTCAGGTGGGATATGCCACCTGTAATGTTAAGTCGAGATCAAAATCGATTATACCACACATTCAAAATATAAATACATATATGTATTCTTTTATGCAGTGCTTCATAGGATTGATATGCAACAAGAATCCGTTTGCGCTGCTTTAAAATTGCGTTTTAAAATCTCTTATAATACCTACCATCATGTAGTACGTATAGACAATTGGTACTTGGTAGCAATGTTATCTACCTTACCGGCAGTGTAGTATGACAATAATATGGGCTACAATGGTTGTGAATGTGAATCAATTATAATTTTTGAAATCCTCTTCTCGACCTAGACAGATCAAAGTGAAATATCTATTACCAGCTAAATATCGCAACGTTTATTAAACTAGTCGTTATTAATGGCGATATAAGCATAATTCTTAAGAAATCTTTCCGTATACCTCTTAATCCTTAATTTCAACATTTCTGTTGTTAGTAGCAATAGCAATGAATTTAGTGGCAATAGCTATGACTTGTTGCTTTATGAATTGCTACTAATAGCTGTATTCGTTTCAAGTGATTTAACTGTTAAATCAGTTTAAGTGATTGCACTTTGTTTTTTTCGTTTACAATCTTAGATCATATAGTACATGGCTATATGGTCTAAGATTGTAAACGAAAAAAATCACTGAAACTGATTTAACTCAGTTAAATCATTTGAAACGAATACAGCTAATAACAGCCAAAAGCTTAATAAAATATGTGAAAACAGTTTTGTATGCACCTTTTAATTCTGAACAACTTTAAACTCTACAGTTTTTTCTGTAAAATGTACAGGAGGGCAGGATATTGCATAAAACTAATTTTTCAGGTTAAATCCCTATGTTCCTACTTACCGTGCACCACCCGGTATAAAAGGCGCTTTCTTTCGGCTACTTAGCAATCATGATTTCAAAATCGTGATTCGTAAGATGACGTTTTACGAAAGAACGCGCGAATTTAAATCAAAGTGTGGTTAAGTTTACGGAGTACACATTTACATTCGAATTAGGTATTTTTTGTTTGGATTATGAAAATAATTTAAATACAAGTGGAAGTACTTGCACGCTTACGCTCCTCTTCAGTTACAAATATTGACTAACCTAACATTTAAGCAAAAATATCCTTGCATTTATAGGTTAGGAATTCGTGATCATAAAACTTTTATGTTCATTTTGTTCAGGATTTTAGCAACCATGATCATAAGATCACACTTCGAAAGAACGTGATTTGACAATCCAAACGCGTTTGGATCACCGAAAGAAAACGCCTAAAGATAACTGTTCAATGATGACAACTTAGCTGTCCAAGTGAGTTCAGTGACCCTGTATAAATTTTTTCGACTATCCTGTGTAGAAATTTGTTCTCTCCCTGTAACTTCACTTCCTTCGGTCATGATCGAAGGCTACGAGTAAAAAATAAATTTTTACTCGTAGATCGAAGGTAACTTCACAATCAAAATAAAAATTTGGTTATGTTTATCTATTTACGACCAACGTTTTCAAAAAAATTCACAAATGTATCTCGATTTAAGGCCATTACTATCAGTTCACGTAAATGTAGTGCAAGCAAAACAACCTCCACGTCTAGTTATTGCATGAATTCCGTAAAGTAATTGCTATCCTTCTAAAATTAGTTGTTCCTTCACTGGTTTACAGACAACATGACTATGAAAACTTTATATGCACTTTGTTACTCAAAGATGAAGCTAGATCGTGTGCATTTGCTGTACGCGCTTTCAATGTCGAAGTATCGAGAGTCTTAGACCAAGTATCGAAATCAGATATTGGTCTTATGAGAATGAAGTTTTGGGAGGATGCACTTTTGGCATGTTTCAGTAAAGATATAAGCAAAATACCTCAACATCCTGTAGCTTTGGAACTGTTTAAAGTGAGTACCATTTAGCGTTGTACTTGGCATTCATAACAACAGTAGGTACTTTTAAGGCTATAACACGATGCAATTTAACCAAACGATATTTTACCTCGTTAATTAAGAGTAGATATGATCTGTTGAAACACAACACGTTTGAAAATCTGGAAGCGATAGAAGCACACTCTGAAAAATCTATATCAAGTGTTTACTATTTGATATTGGAGGGATCTAAAGTTAGAAATGTAAATGCTGACCATGCCGCTTCCCATTTAGGTAAAGCGCAAGGACTTGTTCAACAACTAAGGTAGGTAAATTCATTAAATCCAGCTCATAATTTAACGTTTTCCTGTGTAGATGTGTTCATATGGCGAAAAACTTAAACGCAATACCTCTACCTCAAGATATTTTAGTAAAGCATCAAGTTAGTCATGAAGAAATTCTTCGTTGTAGACCAAGCAGTAGGTTAAGCGAATGTAGTTTCGAAGTTGCCAGTCGTGCTCATCAGCATCTCGTGAAGGCACGTGGTATTTTAAAAAACGTACCAGAGGAAGGAAGGCGTGCATTACTGCCGGCTGTGGCAGTTCACAACTACTTAGATAAATTACAGAAGTTAGATTACAATGTATTCGATCCACACTTACAAGTACGAAGTTGGTGGTGGATTCCTAGAGTGTGGTTCACAAATTTAAAAAAAAAATACTAGTTCTCTATCTCTGTAAAATTAATTAAATTATTTCATTTGATTTTTTGCATGTTATCCATAGCCTATAATAATTTACGGAATGGTTATGGAATGGATATGGTATGGAAACGTTATGTATAGTGAGAATCGGCCTTTATTTTGCAGATGAGGGAACTACAGGGAACGATGTAAAGTGTATTTATATTTTTTTTTTACTCTTCCATCATATATTACTTATTAGTTTATGATCTGCACTAAATAGATAATTTCGTTGAATTTTTAGGCACTAGTGCGCGAAAGTAGATAGTCAATGTTCCCGACGTTCGTATTTTATTGGGAAAACGCGATTTAGAACGAAGGAGTGCAAAAAAGCTTTTCAGCTCTTTTATGTCTGAGAATATGTGTAGAAAATTTGGTTCCAATTGGTTCAACCGTTTAGCCGAAAATCAGAGTACAGGCGGACGTCGAGATTTTGTTTGATTCAGATTCCTGTATTTGTATTCCAAAACGTGTATTTCCGTAAAAAAACTGTGGGGGGGGGCATTTTTTACCCCAATGCAATACCTTCCTTACTAACGTGCGGGTGGCAAGAATGGAAAATTTATACTTTTATAGTCAGGTGTACAATAGTGCCGTGATTTAACGAAACGCAAAAATTTGTGTGCTGTATGACAAATGGAATGGTATAAGAAATGAACGTGTAGAAGTCAGAGACTTGTTATACCCTTAGACTATGAAATTCTTTCCTTCTCTAAGGTTATACCCATATATATAAGAGAAGTATATGGATAACCGCCTATGATTGCAATGTGCAAATTGTTCGCCATAAAAGAGAGCTGCCCTATTCCTTAGTCCTGAACTCTGTATTTATGCGCAAACTCCCCAAGTAAATATTTACTTCTCTCCGCCTACTTTTAAGTAGCGCCAATTTCAAATTTCATAACCTATAACTCGAAAATAGGGTTAAAATTTTATTAAACCATTATTGTGTGCAATTACCATATGTAAAGACAACCACGCACCATTCGGAAACTTCACCCAGACTTCTATTCGCTTCATGCAAGTTCATATTCACCACATTGGCCCCATTCCACCTGCCGACTCCTATCACTATTGTCTGATCCTGTGATGTCTTTAGATAAGTATACTAGCTGGCCGAGGCCCACCCTCCCAAGACCAATCGCCGCCGAAACGTTTCTTACCTGTTGACTATATCGCTTCGATTCCCCTACTTGCATCTTCACGAGAGGGACGACGACAATTTGAATCTTCCCTTTTTTGTGCCCTCAACATTGTTTTCGGCACACAAGGATTCGGGACCTGCAGTCAATGGCCACTTGAATGATTTCACTGCCAACTCAAATCAGCGCTCACGTGCCCCCCAGTGCGTTCTGGTTCAAAGTACTCCGTATCGTTCTGCTTGGAAACTGTAGCATTTTCACGGAGAACTTTCGAGCTTCCTCAGCGGAGTTTGTTTACAGTTACACACTTCGAAGGCAAACTTTGTAACGATTTAGAAACTTAAATTGCAATTGAAATAATGAAATTGGATAAGTTCGAATCAGCTATAATATAAAGTGATACATTACCAATGTTCAAAGAAACACAATTAAATTAAAGACATTTACTGATTTTAAAATAAAATTAACATTGTCGAGTTGGAAATCTTTTAGGTGTTAAATGACCCCCATATAACTTCGTGCCCCCATCATGCTTGCGTGCATCCAAATCAATGCAGTCATAGCGGTTAAAATGACGAGAACACAACCTTGTTTTTACATCATCGAATTCCGATAGTTCACATGCTTGCAGTCACCGATTCTTGTTGCTTTTTTCACTTGGGAATCTAATAACAAGTATGGCATAAATTAATTGATTGCAGATAATTGCATTGTAACTTACTTGTGCCATGAAACCGAAGAATCCACTTTCCCACAAGTACCTGCATTTCTTTATTTCTAAGTAATGAACACACTAAAATTGCCAAACATTAGGTATTCCTTTACAATTAATGTGTATCACTTACGTATACTGATTTATATAACTACGAAAGGCTTCTTTACTATTAAAATTAAACAAAAGTTCAATAACTCATAAACAAAACAAACAATTTAACCTCAATCCGTTATGTCAAACTGGAGTAAATTCTTGGTAAATAACACTACATAATAACAGGCAAGCGCATTAGCGCCTAGTTCCCAACTAATGACAGAAGTATATTTCCATCCACTAACGTTGGCGATAGGCGTGTCCACTCGTTTATCCATATACTTCTCTTATATATATGACTTTACCCCATATATATTCATATATATGCTTTACCCCTCTTATATATATGGTTATACCCATATAAATAAGAGAAGTATATGGATAAACGAGTGGACACGCCTATCGCCAACGTTAGTGGATGGAAATATACTTCTGTCATTAGTTGGGAACTAGGCGCTAATGCGCTTGCCTGTTATTATGTAGTGTTATTTACCAAGCATTTACTCCAGTTTGACATAACGGATTGAGGTTAAATTGTTTGTTTTGTTTATGAGTTATTGAACTTTTGTTTAATTTTAATTTTAATAGTAAAGAAGCCTTTCGTAGTTATATAAATCAGTATACGTAAGTGATACACAATAATTGTAAAGGAATACCTAATGTTTGGCAATTTTAGTGTGTTCATTACTTAGAAATAAAGAAATGCAGGTACTTGTGGGAAAGTGGATTCTTCGGTTTCATGGCACAAGTAAGTTACAATGCAATTATCTGCAATCAATTCATTTATGCCATACTTGTTATTAGATTCCCAAGTGAAAAAAGCAACAAGAATCGGTGACTGCAAGCATGTGAACTATCGGAATTCGATGATGTAAAAACAAGGTTGTGTTCGCGTCATTTTAACCGCTATGACTGCATTGATTTGGATGCACGCAAGCATGATGGGGGCACGAAGTTATATGGGGGTCACTTAACACCTAAAAGATTTCCAACTCGACAATGTTAATTTTATTTTAAAATCAGTAAATGTCTTTAATTTAATTGTGTTTCTTTGAACATTGGTAATGTATCACTTTATATTATAGCTGATGCGAACTTATCCAATTTCATGTTATATTCAAGATATAATCCCTATAGGTATATCATTTCAATTGCAATTTAAGTTTCTAAATCGTTACAAAGTTGGCCTTCGAAGTTGAAGGGTGTAACCGTAAACAAACTCCGCTGAGGAAGCTCGAAAGTTCTCCGTGAAAATGCTACAGTTTCCAAGCAGAACGATACGGAGTACCTTGAACCAGAACGCACTGGGTGGCACGTGAGCGCTGATTTGAGTTGGCAGTGAAATCATTCAAGTAGGCCATTGACTGCAGGTCCCGAATCCTTGTGTGTCGAAAACAATGTTGAGGGCACAAAAAAGGGAAGATTCAAATTGTCGTCGCTGATCGGTGAAGATGCTAGTAGGGGAATCGAAGCGATATAGTCAACAGGTAAGAAACGCTTCGGCGGCGATTGGTCTTGGGAGGGTGGGCCTCGGCCAGCTAGTATACTTATCTAAAGACATCACAGGATCAGACAATAGTGATAGGAGTCGGCAGGTGGAATGGGGCCAATGTGGTGAATATGAACCTGCATGAAGCGAATAGAAGTCTGGGTGAAGTTTCCGAATGGTGCGTGGTTGTGTTTACATATGGTAATTGCACACAATAATGGTTTAATAAAATTTTAACCCTATTTTCGAGTTATAGGTTATGAAATTTGAAATTGGCGCTACTTAAAAGTAGGCGGAGAGAAGTAAATATTTACTTGGGGAGTTTGCGCATAAATACAGAGTTGAGGACTAAGGAATAGGGCAGCTCTCTTTTATGGCGAACAATTTGCACATTGCAATCATAGGCGGTTATCCATATACTTCTCTTATATATATGACCACCACGTTGACAACATTCAACTTGAGCTATGCGCGGTCTAGGTATAACAAGTCTCTGGTATAAGTGGTTATGATGCGAACGTTTGAATTTTTGACCCAGGGAAAAAAGTTGATTGATTTTGATTTTGCTCGAAAGTTGTAAGTAACACAAACTATACAATTGTAACCCCCGCAGGATCTCCACCCCTGAGCAATTTCAAGGGCAGATATGGACTTGGCGACTGCGAAAACCCCAGCAATTTCTTGGTACGGTTAATTTTTCACTCCATTGTATGCCTTCAATTGGCACCCCCGTAAAGCGAGCCTTGTGGATCCCTGGTCTATTTCGGGGGCAGATATGGATTCCGCGACCGCGAAAACTGCTACTTTATTTAGACATCTTATATAACCATAGGTTAAGTTACCTACGCAATAGGGTTCTATTTTTCTCCTGCTCAGCAGACAACTCGGAAAATGTATCACATCGGGAAGAACAGTTTCCTTTCCTCATTGTACTTTTTTACGAACATTCTGCAAATGGGGAATATTTATATACCACGACAACTACTAATGAAAATGTTTAAACATTTAATAGTCTTTAAAAATATGATATGTAACATTATCATTGTTATTTGACTAACTATAGCTACAGTTTAGAACCTATAGCATAATATTTAAACGAGGTAGACACACAAACAATATTATCACAACTAATAAATATAACGACAACTAATTTTATTAAGATTTCATTGCTGTAAATTACTAAATTATTGCATGCTAAAATGTACTTGGCACAAAAAGTTGATTTTCAGCTATTCTATTCCGTCTCTGTATCATAATCAAACTCTTCAATTATATTTGTGAATGATGGGCGCGATCTTAGGAACTTCTTAACTTCGTCATCCACTTGCGTGCTGTTAAGTATGTCGAGTGAAGTCATGCCCAATTTTGTTAATTTGGGATAAACTACTTTTGAGGCCTTCCAACAGAGTACGTTCCTATTAATATTATTCATCAGCGCCTCCGCTTTAGGGAATAAGCTTGCCAAAGTACTACAATACATGAAGTTAACTAGTGGTGAATAACAGTGAACGTACCTAAAAATTGGTGTACATATGTCGGTAGCGAACTGTATTTGTAAATCTGGAATGCACGCCTCGTCCCTGTTCATACCGGCAGCGGGAGTTTTACCCATAGACTTTTCTAAATCTCCTTGTTTAAAGAATTCGTTGTATAGTTGTAATGCTACGATTCTTATTGCTTCCCAAGGCTACAATATGGAAATATACACGTTTCAAGATCTCAATGTAGTTTAAACGTCTATACGTATGTATAAAAATAAAAAATAATGGCGCCCTACCTTTACTTGGTCAGACAAATCACAACATGTCATTAACAGACACATAAATGCGTACTTTTGATCTGGATTAGTTTTATCGAAACCATTCTGAAACCACTGAATGATAACAACATTTAAAGTTGGTAAACATACACACCTCCACCATGTCTTTGTGTATTTCAAACAAATTGAAATGGTGCGCTAAGTCGGTAGCTAAAATATATTTCTTGAATAAATCTAGAAAATGTAAGTAATCTTCGTGCGATAATCCTTCCACAAAGTTGCAATCCTAAAAATATAACCAGTAATGCACTGTTAAGGCTAAACCAAAATGAACTGTAACTCAAAAATGGCATGATATATAGACAATGCAAGATGTTAGTTCTAATTACACTACCTTTTGCGGAAGGAAGGTTTGTTTTTATTATTTATTACGAAAAATCATGAAAAAGTACCTTGACTTATTTGGCCGATTCCATGTAATCGCAGCATTTTATTTTCACCTGTAGATGTTGGTAGGTGTATAATTAGTGCTCAGGGATAACTTATAATATCGTTGTAGTATAGAGACAAAATAAATATTTTAAACATTTTATACATTAGGCCAGCAGGAATCAGCGCCATCTAGGAAAATTATGGGTAAATGTCTCATGAGCATTTGGTAAGGAGTGGTAGAGACAAACCCAAATAATGATCACCATCTGAATCGCAAGACGCATCTAGTTTTCCCAACGCCTTTCTTTATGATGTCAACTTTATTTTTTCTTATGGACACCATTTTGGATTTTCACATTTCACATTACGTTTTTTTTCTCTTTACAAGGATCTATGATACATGGTGGTTCAGTATTACATTTTTCCTATAAATACAATTTTTCATTTTTTGCAAAGAGTGCTATGAACAAACAGTCAGGATCACTTTCCAGTAAAAACTCCTTGCTCATGCAAAAAGCAATATGGCGGTTTTTAGACCAACCTGGCGTATTCTCTGTCTAAAATGCCCGATTCAAGGGTCTGGATCCACGTTTTTGGGGTCCAGGAACACGATAGAAGGGTCAAAAATGAGACCGGAAGTGAAATATTTGGGTCAAAATGGTGCTACTATTTTCCTCCTTTTTTCAGAATGCTCTGAATTTTAAGATTCTGGTATGCGGATATAGGATTTTGGGGCCAAGGAACACAATGGAATGGAAATTCCTCTACTATGCGACCTAGTTGTCCTACATTGATATTTGGTCGTATTTGCTCTTTTAACTTCTTTTCAGATACCTTCTGCTTTTATCTTTTCGCGCTGCGCAATTTCTTTTCAGTTACTCTGAGGTTTTGAACTTCAAGGCTTTCACGAAAATGATATCAACAGCAACTTATGTTACTACAAACCACACTGGTTAACGAAGTAACATTTAGTTTTATATTTTTGAGTTACAGTTCAGAAAGTATTTTAGAACTAAAGTAAAAAAGCGTTATAACAGTCGCACACCCATGCTCCCATTTTATTAACATGCAAACGAGTATACGAGTACAGAATACCTACTACATTATTCCAACACTAATAGGCATGTCTGGGGATGACTAAAAAAATACATATCCATATCTATATCAAATATAGTAGATCGATCAAGAAATCCTGAAGTGCGTCACTCAAAAATTAACATCATGTAACTTCCTCTTTAAGGGTTGTAATGTATAAGTACACGTCCTGGAGCCTCAATTTCCATTTTTTATCTAGAAGTCATCGATAGATGTACAATTTAATAATAACAGACCGCCTTTGACAAAGGTCGGGTCGGTCTGGAAGGTGTCAGTATTCTGCCAGGTAACTACCTTGGGTGGTATCGGTGCTAGTCACAGCAAATTTTTTTGCATACATAATTGCTACACTCTGTACACAATGGCCATTGGAAGAATTAATTACATTAATACAAGTGAATACAAAAATCTGAGGAACAATACATTAGACACACTCAGAAAATGAGTAGGAAGTTCATGCACTTTTACTTGAGACACGTATAAAAGCTTTGAGCTGGATCTCAATTTTTAGGTTTAGTGCATTTACCCACATTTTGAGCATCTTAACGAGAGAGAATGGATACGCAACAAGTCTAGAACTGAATCCCCAGGGGCAATCAACTACAGGGCCAAATTTGGTGCATTCAAAGGCTAGAGCCCTAGACATACCTAAATCCAGTGCTGGTCTTCCAAGTTGAGAAATGAGAAATTAGCTCACCTGTAACAAGCCTCTTTTGCCCTGTAACAAGCCTCTTTTGCAAACACATATGGTTTTGCAAAAATGCATATTCACATCTTTTAATTAATGCCATACAAACATTTAATAATCTAGCCATTTGGAAGAGAATAGTATGTTCCTCTTTTAAGCCATAATGAACTGTATATTGAAAATCAATCGGGTGCCACTTTTAGATAATTATGGAACACAATGCTTCTCATTTGTGTTGAGAAAATAATAAGACAACAACAACAACAACAAGAACCACACTAATTCGAATTTCAATGCTTTTGTTTCCCAAACTTTTAAGCAACCTGTACAGTTTGAATATTTAAATAAAAACATTGAAACTCTGAAACAAAAAACGGCGGTGCAAACAAGCGAAATAAATCATGTGCTCAATCCACTCTTAATGCGAGATAAATTCTGAGCACACTTACGTCTGTGTTTAAGATATGCAGCGATTGCGAAAGATGATGATGTTCCATGACGGATCCTTCACTGGAATATAAATTTGCAAGAACGCTACCAGATTCGCTTTGAAAGGAGTTTGTGGTTCCTCTGTGATCGATATCGTGACATGTACAAGAAACAAGAAATGCCATGGCTTCTAAAGGCCTGGAACAAACAAATCCTTTCTTGAAAGTGTGCCACTTGGTAACTATTTTGGAATCTTGAAACCACTAGAAATTTGAAGAAGTATTTGTTTTATCTCGACTTGCCACGGTTTAGGGCAAAAATGTCATCAATTATTCTCAAATTCAAAATTTGTTCTTTATTGCAAATAAATGTTACAAAGTATCTTTGGATATCAAAGACAGTGCAACAATAATTTTTTAAGACTGCTATTGATCACCGCCCTGCAAAATCGTATATTAAACATACTACTGCGATAGCACGCATAATTTTAGTTTTATGTAACGTAAAAATATTTAAAATAGGCAGTTTTTACCTTTTTTCTATCCCACATGGGTAGTAAGGATATGATAACATCGTAAAAAGTCAAACTTTTCGTTTTCATCCTATAAAAGTGGCACAGGGCCACGAAACCGCAACTCTTTCATCTTTAAATACAGCTAAGATACACTGCAGTCCCAACCAAAATAGGACACCCAGTACATCATATTTAGGAACACACATTAAAAAAGTCAGTGGTGTAGACGGTTATCTGAGCGATTCGGGAATTAAAATTTATACCGAAAGCCGTTACAAGGTCATCCAAGTTACTCAGTTTTGACAAGATAATATTTATCAATATTTAACCTAAAGACATTAATATAGATAAAAACTAGTAAAAATAAAATGTTAAAATCCGTTAATAAATGGCAGAAATATATTATTTAAGTTTACGTATTCAGTGCGCAACACAGTAGTGGTCTGTACAGGGTGGTTTAAATTCGTGTCTCACCATTGGAATCTCCGTAGCGATGAGAGATACAGTGTAGGTTAAATGGGGGCAAAGTTGCCCCTTTTTGTGACTAAAAAAAACATTTGGAATTTTTTAAAAACTGAAATATCACCAAAGCACTGAAAATGTCAAATTCCGTTTTCATTTTCCCTAGCTTAAACGGTCGGAAATGGACGGTTCCTGTTACCACCTTCTATGGGCACTTTATTTTGGAGAACGTGAATCTGTTATTAACAATTCCATAATACGCCAGGTGTAGAAGTTACAGGGTACTACTTTCTTATTTCTTATGGGCGCCATATTGGATTTTTACAGAATCAGATAGAGAACAAAAAAATTCATGAACTGTCACACTTTATACTTTTAAATAAATTTACAAGAAAAATTTCCAAATCAAATGTTTTATGTACATTCATTTCTCGACAAAACATCCACGCGTAACTAGATCTTGCCGAATCCACATGGCATGGCATTCCAATGAATTTCTTTTGTTTGTCCTCTATCTCATTCTGTAAAAATCTGATATGGCGTCTATAAGAAATAAGCAAGTAGTAGTCTGTAGCTTCTACATCTAACATGTTATGGATATTCTAATACCAAATTCAGGTTCTCCGAAACAAAGTGTACATAGAAGCTGGTAACGGGAACCGTCCATTTTCGACCATTTTAGCTAGGGAAAACGAAATGCGTTTTTTAGCCACAAAAAGGAGCAACTTCGCCTATTTATCCTACAGTATATCTCTCACTGTTACAGAGATTCCAATGGTGAGTCACGAATTTGAACCACCCTGTACTGCATGTGATGTAATTTGACCTGATTGAAAGCGACCGTTACGGTGGTAACGGCCGCGGCGCACCAATGACCAACCGTACACGTACTAAGCGAACGAATAGGCATCGTATGCGAATAGGTGAAGTGACGTCACACGCTGAAACGAAATTATTTGTATTGTAACTTTTTCATTTGTGGAGATATTTTAATTATTCTTTCGCATTTTTGTTTCAATTCAACAAAAAACTGGAAACTTCTTAATTGAAGTTGAAGAATAATGTTAGTTTGTTCGTGATTTCACTCGTGTTTTAATATTTGAAATTTGCAGTGAAGTTATGAACGTATTCAGCGAAAGAAGAACAAATGTTTTATATAATATGAAATAAGTGACATTGTTTTTCTACTTTCTTCAGTGTTATTTGATGAACATTAAATTTGGTTCAGACTTCAGGGTAGATTAAACTTAGTTGTAGGCAATTTTGGAGAAAGTTGGGGGGTTCAATTCATTATTCAGGTTTTTGCAATTGTGAAAAAAAATTTTGCTACATGTGTTTACGAACTCAGTGAATTTTGATTTTCATGTTTTCAGAGGATAACAGTTTCATTTATTTTGATAGTAACTGTGTGACATTTACACTTTTTTGTTACATAGTATCATAATTTTTACTAAGGTGGAGGAAAACTTACTGATATGCACAGGATATTTAGGGAAACGACAGTGCAAACAAGCGGTTCTTTTACAGTGTCCCTCGAATCACATTTAGATTAAAAACAATCTTACAATTTATTTCTTGCACTGTTCTCAATCTGAGACCTCAAGTTTCAAACTGAAAACTTCAAAACTCTCTCACGTTAAATTTGTCTTTACAAAGGCTTTTGAATTGAAATATTGAAATTAGTATCGAGAAAAATTTAGTGAAAAAAGCATGCATTTTATATATTTACACTATAATTAGAGAAAGAAATCATTGTTAATAATCAAAAATAAAATAGCCCAAAAATTACTTACGTCAAATACCCTTCTTCGATCAAGTTCAATTGCTTGATGAGAACGTATCCGAAATGTGTGACGGAAAAAGCGTGCATCCAATTGTGATAGGGCGGGTCTCGGTAGCCCTTCTTCACGTACAGCATAAATTTGACCAAGACATCTCTTTTGATGCGCAATGTATTGAAGAAATTCAAATCTTCAAACATTTTTATGATATGACACGGTGTTTCGGACACCCTGATTCGTTTTGGCATGAAGTTAAAGCTGTCGTAATTTAAATACGAATGCCGGTTTGTGCAGAGAAGAACTTTTGATACTTCCTCTTGCGGTACCTAAAGAATAATAAAATCAAAATTGAAACGCTTCTAAGTCGATTGATTATTAGTAACAGTACCTTAAATGCATGGGTATAATTATAATTTATCTTACTGCGTACAAGAAACTGAAGCTCCTGATTTTTTTATCGAAATGTCAGTGATGCATTCACGACGTGGGAGAGGGCGAGAGGTCGTATGGAAAACTAAGCACCAGCTGAGGAAATTCAAGCAGCAATATCAATTAAATATGTTTTCTTTTTGTTAAATTTAACGGGATTCCTGTATCCCTCGCGTCCCAATTAATTTAAATTTAATTTAATAGTATGTATGTGTAAATGATTTAAATTGTTAAAGCTGGTCAGGGGACAAGTGTGCCCTCAATGCGGCCCATCCCCTACCCCCACGTATGCATTTAAGCAGAATGTACAACAAATAAACCATTCGAGAAAAATAATCGGGGTACTAGAATTAACCTACTGAAATAGTACATTATATACCAAGGTAGAGAAGTCTAGTATTATAGCCTGAGCACCAAGATTACATTTCGAGGTGACTAATATTTATGTGGCGCCTCAATGGCGGCTGCTGGCGCCCCGATGTCTGGGACACTCGCTACAATACAAGTTCGATTAAATTACAATGACTTAAGGTTTTTTCTTACTATTCAACTGACCTGAATACAAAATACAACAAATATGATTTACAGGAATTAACGATAGCAACATCTATGGAATGTCAACTCAGGTACAGTCTGTTCTGCTAGTATTATCCCAAAAGGTTGACCACGAAAATCCTAGACCTCGTAACGGAATGTTGCAGCTATGCCTCCTATTGAATTTCTTTTAATACCGCCGCCTCGCCTCGCCCCGCCCTTTTATTATGGCAAAGTGATCAAAACTCAAAAGGTCATTTCCGAAGGGTAGTAAGGCGAGGCAAAAAGTCGGAGCTATGTCCCTTACTGTATTCCTTTTTAGCGCATTTCCACAAAAATAAAAAACAATGCGCTATTGTGGCCACTTTATTCGTCCGTCCGTCCGCTCGTTCGTTGAGACGCTACTACTATCTTAAGAGTTATTGTTTTACTTTTTTGCTATTTGGTTCGTTATGGTGTCGAGGCTTGCACCAAGGAAGGAATTTTTTCTGCGTTTATTGCTAAAAAAAGTTTTGTAAAAAACCAACAAACCGTTTTTTAAATGTTCCACAATTTTGCCGTTTATTAGCGGACCTAGAGATCGTTTATAATTTTGTATTGCTGTCTGCCGTCTATCTGTCCCTCTAACTGTCCGTGTGAACGATAACTTTGTTTAGAAATGCCCGATCGCTTTTACATCTCCGTTAGTTATGAACTGAATTGCATGAAATTCAAATAATAATAATATCCGTTTATTGAAAAAAACAGTGAACAAAAAAGCAGGTGCAGTAAAAAAGAAAGAAAAAAGACATAGAGGAAATGCTCACCGTTAAGTTCAAAAGGGCGAAGTTCAGATTGGTAGTTAAAAACTCTACCATCTGTTCTTCCACTTAACCCTTGCTTATTTAAACGAAGTTCCTAGTCAGCCAATGATCGATATCACTTATGTGTATGAGATTAAAACTAAAAAAAGAAAAGGGCTTAGAGAGACCTATGTTGTTTTTCTAGCAGTGACATCCGCATATATTTTTTAAAATTTTTCATTGTAGAGGATTTTATATGAGATGAGAGTGAGTTATATATCTTCGGGACGTAATAGCTAAAAGATCTTTTAAATAAAGTTGTTTTATAAATTGGGATTTAGATGAACATTCTACTTCTTGTATTTAAATTATGAATATTAGTTCTAAATTTGATTCTATCATGGAGATACCCAGGAGTTTTGTTACAAATGATTCTATGGATAAAACAAGCTGTATGATAATTTCTCAAATTAGACATATTTAACCATTTAATGTCATTTAGTTTGTGTGATATTCGGTGAAATTTTCTTATTCCAAATATAAGTTGTAGGCAAGAATTCTGCATACGCTGGATTCTTCCACTGTCTACCGCATCCAAACATGGGCCGTATATATTATCACAATAACTAAATTGTGATAGTACTAATGACTCACAAAGCATGATTTTGAAACTGCGATTTAATATTAGTCTATTGTTATACAGAGTTTTTAAATTTAAGTAGGCTTTGCGAAGAAGTTCCTAGACATGCTTCTTAAATCTTAAATCAGTGTCCAATATTAATCCCAGGTTTTTAGCGTTATCGACAAGCGGTAGGGGCGTATCTTTAATCTTTATTTTTATTTCAGGAATTATAAGTTTGCGAATTTTTGCTCTACGAAATAACTTCACGTAGAACATTTTTGTGCATTAATTTTCAGCCCATGTCTTTCTGATATTTCCACCAAGTCCTGCACATCTTCATTAATATTAGATACATCATTTTGAGTTTCATGTGGTAAGAATTCATGTAATAATTGGGTGTCATCTGCATATAAATGATATGTACAATATTTGATGGAGTTTATAATATCAAATGTGTAAATTATATATAGAAGGGGCCCTAAGACAGAACCTTGAGGTACACCAACTGTCACTGGTAGCGCGTGAGAAATTTCACGTTCAAGGGTAACGCATTGGAAGCGTGACGATATATAATTCCTAATTAAATTTGTAGCCATCGTACCAAAACCTATATGCTCAAGAATCGCCAGGAGTACATTGTGAGAAATTGTATCAAAGGCCTTTGAGTAGTCCGTAAGCACTAGAACGGCAAGTTTATTTTTATCTATGGCCGACATGATGGTATCCGTCACATGTGCAAGCGCCGTATTGCAACTGTAACCCGCTCTAAATCCCGATTGCATTTGTGGAAGTACACATTCGTGATCTACATAGTGTCTAATTTGAACAACCATGGTTTTCTCTAAAACTTTCGAGAGACAGGGCAAAATACTTATAGGCCTTAGGTCTTTCAATTCTTTCGGACTACTTACCTTAGCTAGTGGGGTAATTTTAGCAATTTTCCACACGCTTGGAAAGGTGCCTTCGCTAAGGCAATAATTTATTATGTGAGTAATAGGTAGTGCCAAGTACGGTAAACATAACTTCCACATATCTAGACTGATACCATCGTGCCCTAGTGAATTTGATTTTAAAGTCAGAAATGTTTTCAAAACGTCCGTTTCAGTGATTAAAGTAAACTTAAATTGAGTTGTAGGCGTTCTAGAACCACTATAGTGCGCAAAAAGTTTGCGTTCATCAAGCTTTACATTGTCGTCGGTGTTTGTGAAAAACTCATTAATTTTATTTACTTGACGAAGGTCTACAGGCACTTCGTTAGTTTTTAAAATACTGGTAATGCCTAATTTTTTCAATTTATATTCATATTCAATATGGGCATAGCTTTAGCCATATAATACGCAATGTCAAAAGTTGAGTCGAATCGATTCAAAATTCACAGTGCCTCTCGACCATTTATAAACCAAATTGCAAACTTTTTTATTTATGGAAGAATTTAAACGAAATTTGATACATAGGCACTTGGAATAAAGGAAAATCTAACGCCAGTTTCAAAATTTGGTTTTTTTAAACGAAATTTGATACATAGGCACTTGGAATAAAGGAAAATCTAACGCCAGTGTCAAAATTTGGTTTTGCGCATGCGCAGTGCCAACTTTCTTATTTATGGAAGCAAGACCTTATTTTTCTGTGTACAACCTATAAAAATTGTGCCAGGTTTGATTACAAAAAAAACTGAGAAAAAAATGTCAAAGCTAAAAAACTGAATTTTTTTTGTTGCAAAACTAAATTAATTTTAATTAGGAATTACAGTTATTAATGATATGTTGCCTTGTGTTGCGTCCCCAAACTAGAATAAAATATCCTTTCGTTTTTCCTTTAATGAAAATGCCTACGAGTAAAAAATAAGAGGAGAGATAACGGTGGTGGGAAATAGCATAACACGCGACGGAAGTCGTCATCAAATCACTTCCTTTGCGCTGGTCAGTTATGTTGACTTGACTTATCATAAAACAGAAGAGACGATGTCAGTTTTGTTTTATTACACCACTGCCAACAATGACGCGTTTCTCCCCACTCTTCTCGCACTTTTATAACTTCCTTTTTGTCCATTTCCGTCTCGTCCCCTTTTAATGCAAGGTTCTCTCCTTTTATTTACTCGTAGGAAAATACCCTGTACATAACCGTTTTTACTTGCCTGTATATATTCCTACTTGTTACGTGTGCGCGCATGAGCCGCAAAAGCGCAATATGTGTACTCGTCGCGCAGAATTCGTCACATTCTTCGACGAGAAGCCATCGACTCAACAACGTTGAGGATTCCCCGTTCATCAATGGCCGATTAGCTTTCGTCGTTCGCATATAGATCTTGATCGATCCACTACAAATCAAGATGTCGCCGTGCAGTTCGCAACATCGTTATTGTTAAGAAGCAAAACGTCAACAGCGCACATCATGAAGATTTCGTTGTAACAAAATCGTCATTGCAATATCGCATTCGTTGTTAATGGACATCGAAACAACACGTAAGTTCCTTTGTTTACATTATCCTTTCGTAACTTGCCATTTTCTAGTAGCGCGTCGTGCCTACGTCAACCATATTCAATAGAAATTCATTTACTTTGTATTTTTTATAATAAACACGTTTATTTTTGTGTCTATATTCTTTCATTCCCAGCATAAACAAGGCCGTGGAAGTAATTTATAATTACAGTCCACTTACAATTAAATTCTTTGTTATCGAAACCCCCTTGTACGGTACACCTTGTGACATGAAATAAAATAAAAAATCAATAGACAAACATCAGCAAAATGAAAAAAAAATATAATGCACGTGGTCACCCATCCAAGTACTAACCGCGCCCTACGTTGTTTAACTTCGGTGATCGGACAAGAACTGGTGTTTTCAACGTGCTATGGCTGTTGTATAGTATCTAATATTAGGCATACGGAAACGAAAATCAACGAGCCGGATTTTTAGCGCATTTTTGAAAAAATACGCTATTGTATTCGTTATGGCTGGCCGGCCGGCTGTCCGCGTGAGACCTCAACAATACAATAGCTAGAGAATTCAAATTTTCACTAAAAGCTTTCTGCTATAGTGTAGATGTGCAGGCACTAGTCTATTTTGAGTTAGATTACTTATGAGATCGATAATTGAAGAAAATAATTTCGATATGGGTTTCGGAGGTGCTATAATTTTACCGTTAGATAGCGCTACCAGTATAAAAACTTATTATTTACTTTGTGATTTGTTTTACAAAATAAAGACGTACCCTCAATTGAAATTAAATAAAATTAATTATTTAACACAGCCAAAATTACTCGTGAGATCGATAATTTTAAACTTCGCTAATAAAATACTGACCTGCATTACCAAAAATGCGCTTTAATCATGCATATGCTGATTTACAACTTGTTTCAAATAGTAACCCACTTATTAACGAGCCAAGTATTGGAGTGGTTACCCATTCAAATACGAGTTTTAACCGAGAGCATCGCTGCTTGACTGTATAAATGTAGACAATAAATGAATCATTAGTAATAAACATAAACAAAAGTAAAAAAAAAGCGCTAGAAGTCGTTAGACATAGACAACAACATGGAGTATCTAGCAAAGAATGTATCATTAAAATTACCTATTATCGCGATCTAATTAGAGGTAAAGGGGTAAACTTTGTTTTTTTCCAAGTATAACAATAGAATTCGAAATAAACAAAAATAAATACGGTTTACGGTGGTAACATATATACGATAGTTCTGATCAAAGCATTATTGCGAGACGAATTGGGGTGTAGCCGAGGGCGTATAGGGTCATTTCTTTGGGACTACCAGTTCCGCTAAAGTGTAGGGCAACTTAATTTTTTCAAATAGAAACTTGAATATTCTTATTCTACATCGGAAAATAATAAACTTTCGTGGGAAACGTTTTTGCCTAAACTTATTATTTTTTGAAGACACTCTTCTAAAAGCGTTATTTTCAGATTGAGCTAGGAAGCTGTTCTGAGAAAAATTTGGCAACTGGTTTTTACCTCAGTTTTTACTATAAAAACAATAAATTTTGACGAAGGGCCATCTTAGCTGGAGGTTACAGTGCAGACTTGAAAGTTGGAATAATGATAAATGATTATAACTGTATTCATTTTAAGAAGGTAGCGGTAGAAACCATAGGGAGGCTTTGACCTAGACTGTGATTGGTTAAAACACGAGTCAGTATTACAATGAAACATAAAACGAATAGTGAATTTTGTAAGGTGGTATTTTATATGGCCAACTAAACTGCCGAAGTGTCATTAGTTGTTATTGTCAAAGATTTATTTATGTTTGCAGTGCTGAGCATTTCTACTTTACAATAATTTGGTGCCGTTTTATATTTGACCTGTGTGTGTTTATCTTCAAACACAGCGCCATCTACTACCTTCTTATAATGAATGCAGTATAGTAACATGTATTACGCATAGGCGAAAACCAATCTAACATGGATATTTTATTCATATGGCTTATCTGTTGTACATTTTGCCTCTATGTCCCGGAATATAACACTGCTGTATACAATGGTATAAATGAGTAGCTTCAGTAGTCAACCAATTTTAAACCAGGATAGCCAGGTCAATGTAATTTAGTTCATCTCATATACGAAGTATGGCAATTTCTAACTATAAGAATCATGTTCCAGAAGTGGGGAGAAAAATTTTTCAGTTGAATGTGAAACATGAAATAAGACATCCATTTTTGTTCGTTACTTAATTGTCATACTCCGCAGGTGAATTAAAATGCTTTCCATTTTCAGCATTCTTGTGAACCAACCCGTAACTTAATTTTAAAGTAATGACAGTTTAATACGTTCGATTTCAAGGTCGTCCAATAACACTGAGTGCGCTTAAATTGTGGATAACCTGCCATCAATGTAGTTTTGTGAGAAAACTGTTAATACCACTTGGTTTCTGCCATTCTCGTTTATCACTGAGCGTCTGTCAAAGGCGACGGTGAAGGTGTGTCCTGATTTCTGAAAATTCAGTATCTACAATACGGCTTTTACATATGGTGAACTTTCTGTTCTGTTTCTACCGCTCCTTAATTTCCCGGTGTTTAATTTAAATTTTTACTCCCCGCACAGCTGTACTGCTCAACAACATGGGTAGACATGAACATCTGGTTACTATCTCTTCACTAAAACTGTCCTTATGCGACCCAATCACTGCTGCTATAATCAGCGTTTGCAATGGAGATTTCAACCATGATCCCAAGAATTGTATTTGACTTATTTTCATTACCGTTACCAGTGTTATGTTATTGTTTGACCGCAATTGCAGATTATGGAAATACACGACCATTTATTGCTTATCAGAACAAAAATGCCTAGGTATTCAAAATAATTCAGGGATAATGGAAATACCTATATGACATTTTCCAAATACAAGTTGGAAAGTAGGCCATTACCACTTCTAGTTCAGACTAAATGGATTGCTAAATAGATCGCTAGTTGCATGTGCTTAAGCAGATGGCGTGTAGTATACAATAGGGTTTTAATGATGGTAGTTTCAAACGCCCATAATTTAAAAGTATAATTTCATGTATTGATAGGGAGCCCATTAAAAATAAATATAAGTTTCCATTGTAACGTTTAGGTTAGTTTTCCTCTAGACGTTTTTAAATAACTTAAACCATTAAATATTTCCTATAGCTAATATATCCATTGTCAAAGAGGCTGTAATCTGTTCGATATTTCCCATGTCTTTTCTTTTATACTTACCCCATGGCACGAACCAACCCAATTTTACCATTTTTCGTTTCCAATGAAGATTATAATTTTTCGTTACAATTAATGGAATCTCACTTTATCTATTCGTTTGTAATTTCAGAACTGCTTTTTTTGATTTTATTGCATATTGATTATTATGCTGCCTTCTTCTCGCAGTTAACATTTGTTCCAACAGTGACTCTAGCTGAATCAAAGTCCATCCCGCATTAGCTATATTTTGTAATTTCAGTATTTTTTGTTAGTTCGTAAGGATCTGCATATGTACCGCTTTCTTTTGTTTTGCAGTTACGATGTAGATCCACATATTATAATCATTGTTTCATGATACCTTTTACAGTGAATGAATAATAAAAAACTCAATCTTACCTTCATGTGATATAACATCAGTTCATTGGATAATTTGCTACGATTCATTGCTTCTAACATTTTCTTGTACATTAAGCTTTGCATTATGGACAAACCGCAATAAATGCTAAAGGCGAGGGCAACTTCTTCATCGAAAAAGTCGAAGTCGCCGTCAATTTTGTTGCAAAGTTGAGCAACTCCAATTATACCCTTCTCATCTTTGATAGGAAAACATAAGATGTTCCGTGTTCGAAAACCCGTAGCCTCATCCATTCCTTTATAAAATAAGGGATGGCTATATGCGTCCTTGATATTTAGAAGCTTCCCAGTCAGCGCAACATGACCTGCCCAATGAAAGACATTAACCAAGCAAAAGTCAAAAATGCTTACCGGCAATGCCTTGATCCTTTGCTATTCTAACCTCGGTAGACACATGCTCGTGAATGACACCATCAAAAACTTTAGCAACCAGATGCAGATGTTCGGGATCTAGCAGAAACAAAGAACATCGTTCCGCATTCGTCAGCCTCCTTGCCTCCGCCATTATTTCCCTCAGAAGACCGTTCAAGTCGTCCAGATGCGAGTAGAATTTCCTAGACACGCGCAACAACGACTGACATTGCTTTTTAATTCTAGACTCCTCCTCCAATTTCGTGGTGTTATCGAGAATAGGCAAGCAAAATCTGTACGTCTCGCTAACAACCTTCGTTATGAATTCTTGCGTACATGGACTGTTAACGACGCAGATCAAGACGGAAACCGGATGCTCCCCTCCTCTCTTTAATTTCGACAGAATCGGAACGGTAACAACTTGTGCCGGATTTTGACTCGGTGCTAGTAAATCGACGAGGACCTGCTGCAACACGCTTTCGAATTCGTGAATCTCGTGGAGGGCGGAATGGCTTGTGTCCACAATTTGTTTCAGTATTCCACACGATATGGAATGGCAAAAGGGAGTATCAAGTACTTTCTCTCCGAGGACTTGTACAACTGCATCACGTGATAGGTAGTTTATGTTTATGATAAAAACCAATTCCGCCTTTGTCTCATTTTTAACCTAATAGAAATAAACAAATGGTTACGTCACAATAAAAAACTATACTTATGTTAGAAGAAATAAAAAATCCATCTAGTCCGGTCAAAATAGACAATTCAAATAATAAAAACTTCGACAGAGCTGAATTTTGGTAGAGACCTTGGGTAGACCAGTAGAAATAAAGTACTAAAAGTCCCCATAGATCCCATGTGTGCTAAAAGAAGTAATTCAGGGTCAAATGTAAAAATTTCCGGTTTCTTGGATTTTTCTCGACAACAGTAGGTTTTATTAAACATGTAGCTCAGACAAAAATTGAATGATCTACAAAAATGATCCTTATACTATTTTTTTTAAGAATCACCATTCCTAAGATATTGCCCTTTGAATGAGTTACATTCTACACATTTCCACACCGCCCGTGAGGTAGTATACTTGGCGCGTTTTTTAACGTGGTTTGCCCGGTAGGCTTACTCCACGATCTGTTATGTCGGATTTTTATGGGAAAATACTGTCTTTACGGCATGATGATTATTGATTTTGAAATTATTATATAGGTGATTTAAACTGTAGTTCTGATTCCTGTTAATATTTTAATTTGATTCGTACTCTTCAAATTCGACTTCAACAGTTATGTCTTCTTAGATTTCTTCTTCTCCTTCTTATTGATGAATGAAGCATCTTCATCCGCTTCATCGCCACAAAATAAGCTCTTTGGATACTTGCATCAATTAGAGTATTCATTCCATAACTAATAACTGTAAAGTCCCTGCCAGAGAGAGTGCGGTCTGCGATATTTGTATTCTGTATTGTACATGTACCTGTCAAACAGAGAGCGGTTCTACCTCTTCTTCGTAGGAAGAATTGATAGACATATTTTTTAATGTACTACACAAAAAACACCGTTACAAAATTTTAATTTAATAAGCTGGAGATATATTTTGAGTATTTTCAAAATGCGACCATCGCTGCCCACATCTTCTATTTGCGTTATGCGAATAGACCACGAACCATCGCCGCCAGCATATTAAATGCTTCTTGGTTAGAAATAGGCATTTTAGAAAAGATTACAAATTCAAAAAACTGCATTTTCTGACTGTAAACACAGCAGAATAATTTACAAATGATGGCTGTTATTATTTTATAATGCAGCGTGTTTCATTTGTTTAATTTCCCAAGGCCTACCTAAAAGTGTAGGGTCCTTTTCCAATCTTTCGCGCCATCGACAAATACCGGAAATACGTCAAATAAGATACAATTTAAGCATTTTTATTAATTCATTCATTCATCTCATTTTCCCAATATTTGAGGTTAGGAACGAGATTTTGAAAAACGGTTTTCTGGCCTCTTTGGGTGTTATTGGCTACTTTTTCATAAAGAAAAAGTCATCATTCCATTTGATTTTTTTAAGGATTTGGATCATAGTGTCAAAACTAGCTCTCTGGCGGAGAAGGATTCAACTAAATGAACTATATTTGGGTTGATTCTTGTTGCCCAAGGAATGCTCTTTTCAACGATACAAAATTTGTTACAATCGGTCAAACGGTTAAGAAGTTAAAGAAGGTTATTTCAAAAACAAATGAACGCCCCACACCATCTTTGTTTTTGAAATAACAGAGTTTTTGTTTTTACGAAAATGATGGATAAACTGGTTCTCTTTAAAAATGTGAAAAAAAATTTTTTAGTTTGTTATGCGAAATTTAAAGAAAATGCAATTTTAAAATTTAAGATGGCAGTTATGCCCTCTGGTCATTTTTTGAACTTGCAAATATTTTCCAGCGATTCTTCATGACCAATTTACCCAATAATTTCTTTACCCCTAAGTCATATGACGAACGGTTCTCGAGATATGGTCGAGGAACAGTCTTATTGGGTCACCTGGTACAAAATCAAAATACCTATCTCGCAAAACATAGCATTGTGGAGGGTGTAAGTATAATGTTGGACCTAAGGATTTCAGTTTATTTACTTAAACCAAGAAAATGTCATTTGCAGTTCATAAAATCACAAACCACCCTAACACTAATATATTCTTTGTGGTAACTTGTTAGGTGGTATATTCACCTCATAAAATGAGCAACAACACATCCAGTAGTAAAAATTTAAATATTTAAAAAGAGAAAATACTTACATAATTGTTGAGCTTTTTTTCCAACTCGATTGTACTAACATTAATGAGAGACTCCGTTAGTAGCAAAATTTTCCCTGGATCGCTAACTTCCAGTATGGGCTTATACTGCTTGTCCGAGTTTCCATTTTCAAATTTACGACAATAAGGCGGAACGGGCATTAGATTCGGCTTCGGCTTCCTCTCACGTTTGCAAGACGGCAACCCTTCATCCATTGCGATGAATTTTTCACGATTTAGTACTAGTAGTTGTTATAGTAAATTTTGAGAGCTTACACTAAAAGTTTCGCCAGATTAGATAAAACGATAAATAAATAAATATAACTTTACTTTGACTTTACACAGAAACCGCCAACTGTGATACTTATGGTCATGTTTGTTTTGCTCCTACTACTTCACTCATTTATTTTCCAATCTACTTCAGAAAGCAGGTTTATATTTTAAATGGTTTATCGTTTCACATTTCCTTTCGAAGTGATTACATTTTACTGCCCTACTTTATAATCCATGCACAATTCGCACCGCACCATCTACGATTAATTATTATGACATTTTTTTTCTTGTAATTAGGCATTTACTTTTTGAATATAAACTGTTTGATTATGACTTACCAACGTAATGTTTATTTATCGGTTTATCGTTTGTTACATAACCTTACAGGTAACAGTGAGTGCGAGTAAGATAAAAGATAGTAGATACCACAGAATCAATAGAATAGAGCCTGGGGCAGTAGAAAGGTTATTCCTTAGTGCCCCTTCACTCTAGGCGACTTTAGTATAGCGCTGTTAGTCGCCTGACGTCGAAACCTTTCACACTAGGCGGCTAATGGTCGTATGCACCGACAAAATTTAAGCGAGACTAAAAGCTTGAGCGTAACTTATAATCCATTCCATGGCAACGATTTTTGCGACAATGGTTGCTATGGATTTTAAACATACGGCCATCAGCAGCACAGAGTTGTATGTAGTAAATAGAGAGACAGTGTTTTTGCAAATAATTGACCACAATTGAATCTTGCGCAGGCCGTACGCGAGGGTGCACAATAACGGGATGGAATGGAGATATAGTGAGGAATCAACAGCGTACCTAAAGAAAACCACTAATTCGTCTTTCACGCACCGCGCATGTGTCACAACGGCTCGGCCGGGGAAACTTATATAGCGTTGAATCTAAGATCGCAACGGCAAGTTTCTAGTTGGCGTTCCAGTACGTTGGATAGGAAGGGAAACGCTTAGTAAGAGATATATATCATAAAAGTGACTACGATCTGTCTTATGGAGGTTGCACCTCTACCTGATTCCTTCACTTAACGCTATATAGGTATGTGGCCGCTGTATGAGGTTAATTTTCCAGGCGCAGGTAGGTACTTGTGATAATCCACCCTTATGGTTAGGCAACACACCTTTACATCTGAAACAAAAATATGATATGCTCTGTATATAACCAATCGACCGTTTTGCGCAGATGCCGAATACTAGGGGATTTTGGTAACGAAGCTAGGGGAGAATGAAGAAGATGGCGACGAGGTCGACGGAAGGCATCACGCGTTCCCGGTTTTTATTCTTGATTATTTTGGTGGTGGTGTTTTGAAGGTGTATTTACAGGTAGTAACCATTTTATTCTTTCTTGTACTAGCTATTTAATCATTGAATTTCTTGCCACAATTTGATATTATTTACATTTTGCTGATTTTGCATAAACTACGATATCTGAATCATGGCATACTCCATGCCTTTGTTTTGAGTACCGTTAGATGAATCATGTTTGTTTGTTATACTGTACAGATGATTATGCCATTATTTTGTTTAATTAAGTATTTATTTCTGTATTCACGAGGAGTTGATTATCAGTGCGATGTTGCTCTGTCCGATTGATCCGTAACTATTCCGTGAGGGAAGTACCTAATACAGTTTGATTGTTCGCTGTATCTGTTACTTTCTGATTCGTGGCGCGCTGCAGTTCTTGTGCGTTAGCTATATCTGTTGCCTATTCGTCTCGTGCGGATTGCAGTTCTTAGCATCTTAGCAATAAGAGTAGAGGCCCTCTCATTAACATTCCCACTATTTAAAATATGTTCTGCTTGAGTGATAATCCATTTTCACATGAATACTTGCTATTGGCGATTGGCATTCTCACATGTACTTTTCGTCTTAAATTAAATTATGTTAATGGAAGACTGGAGTAGAGCCACACCATTTACATGTTTTCTATGTACATGCAATTTATTTTTTTTACGAGTTGTGTTATCTCAATTGATCGTACAGGTATTTTGAAGTGTTTTTGTACTGAATTGATTTATCATGTTTTTCCACTGCATTGATGATGTCTTGTGTATTTTGTTTTTATTAACTTGTTTAATTGCATTTGATTTGATTATCTGATATTTATCATACAATGTGAGATGTTTTATTTATGTGTATTTTCTCTGTCATTTTATTGCTGTAGGTGATTTATTTCATGTATTTGTTTAGCCTATGTCAGGGTTTTAGTCCCGTAGAAGCTTTCCCTGGCATGGTCTTGTTGTGTGCGTTAATATATTCATTTGTTCTTGTCATTTCTTACGCACAAGAGTTCTGTCTTTTATTTAATTCCCTTCCCGATATGTCTCACGTCCCAACACATAAAAGAACCGATTACATAACGTAGGAGTTTATTCGTGCCATCCATGTCTAGCCGACTGCCATCCCAATTCAAAAGTGCCGCGAAACTACCATCGTTTCGACTTGAAAGGTAGGTGGCTCTGCTTGTAGTTTTTTTGCAAGAGTTGCCAACGGTAAGTATATACCCTATACTTACGTTTTCAGTGTCGGCTTGATAGACCCCTAGGAACATTACGGTACTAACAGCAACAATCCCAAAGACAAGTCGAATACAAATAATGTTTTTGTCAATAACAATACTTCAATATCGCCAAACAATAACATCTTTGTTGGTTGCAAACAAGATGATTTTTCTGAAGTAACTCCACTAAGATAATTTAATGTAAAATTAAACGTATACTCGTATGTTAAGAATGGGAATGCTGTTTTTCATCAACATTCCGACCTGTGTTTCAGCCCCGTCCGACATTCTGGAACACTATCATAGCAAATTCAATTCGACCAATCAAATTCGCGCTAGTACTGTATCCCATACCGGAATGTTTAAATGCAATCCGGCGACAGACAATATCGACTTCGGTCGTCCCGGTAATTTAAACTCTGCGATCGGGGGGATGGAAAACATTTTATTTGTTACTCAGTTGTAAACGTTGATTAACAAGACAAAACGCAAACGGGTAAACGTCATGTTTAAACGCTACTGACTTGTAAAACTGACAGCAGACTTGTAAAACTGACAGCAGACCTGTAAAAATTTTACAAGTTAGTAATCTAGTAGGTAATTTCATTGGCCAGAATTAATGCGAAGTCTCTGTTACATGGATAACATGATATTTTAGACATTTCTTCAAGATTAATTTAAGAACTAATTATTTACGTCTACAAATGAGTAACAAATAAAATATTGTACATTATACGCCAGGTAATAGTTTTTACTGGCTCTAGGAGATGACAAGCTCGCCTAACGGCTCGCCAGTCAACTTCTCCTATCGCCAGTAAAAACTCACTTACCTGGCTAATAATGTAAAATACTATTATTTGTTACTAAGTTGTAAACGTTGATTAACAAGACAAAACGCAAACGGTTAAACGTCATCTTTAAACGCTACTGACTTGTAAAACTGACAGCTGACCTGTAAAAATTTTACAAGTTAGTAATCTAGTAATTTCATTGGCCAGAATTAATGCGAAGTTTCTGTTACATGGATAATATGATATTTTAGACATTTCTTCGAGATCAATTTAAGAACTAATTATTTACGTTTACTATTGTTTACAAATGAGTAACAAATAAAATATTGTACATTATACGCCAGGTAATAGTTTTTACTGGCTCTAGGAGATGACAGGCTCGCCTAACGGCTCGCCAGTCAACTTCTCCTATCGCCAGTAAAAACTCACTTACCTGGCTAATAATGTAAAATACTATAAGACGCGGTAAACATATGAAGCAAATTCATGTCTATAATATTGAAACAATTCACCGGAATTAAGTTTTCTTATTTGTTATTTTGTAGAGCGTGATTTTTCTTTCTGATATAATCATTGAAAAAAGAGATTTTTTATTCAATGCCTGCGTAGATAAATGGTAAAACGCATTTTTCTAAAAATGGGTCCTTTGCACCGATGGCAATTGTGTAAACAAGACGGCTTATTTGAGCTTCCTTGCATATTTCGCGGTCTCCAATATTTCTAAGGATTAATTACAATGCGCCCAAGCACAATAACAGCCACTTTCGGTACCAAATTTGACAACCACTTCTATTCTTATTAAATATCGATACCAGTATTTTGTGAATTCAGTAACTAAAAAGTAAATTTAATTTGGCGTCCTTACGTTACCATCAACAACCGCAGCTGCAAACCAGCATTCCTTACGAACTATAAGTAGGTACTACCATAGAGGAAATAGGTACAATTTCCTCTGTGGTACTACCTACCTACAACAGTGCTATGGCTGTTCAAAAGAAGCAGAAGAATGGGGTTGGAAGAAAACCCAAACTGGCCACACCCCCAGTAGCCTCTTTTAAGGATTCCAAAGCACTACTTGCATTTTTATCATGTAAGTAGTGCAAGACCAATTGTGGTAGAGCGTGCGGATGCAGAAAAGCAGGATTAAAATGACCCATTATTTGCGGTAGGTACTTATATGCAATGGGAACACTTGCGAAAATATCAATCAATTGACACTGGACCAATCTGTTGAAGATGGCTTGGACTTGCCGCTCGATCGATACTACTGCATTTGCCGTCTGAGGAACGAGAATCCGACGAATTGAAAGAAACCGACGTTGATCCCAAAATAGAGATAAACAAACATATTCCCTGTTGAAAACATTGACATTAACGAACCGGTTCCGCCAGGCCTTTGCAGATAGAGAATGTAATTTGAGTTACTTAAAATGAATTGATCATAGATTACTTAATTGATTAGTCAATTTGATTAATTAATTAATTCATGAATGAATATTTCGATAAAATATACGCCACTGTTTATCAAAAATGTCTGCCCAAGGGTAATATGCTAACTACATTTTTTGAAGGAAATTTTCTTCTCATCAATTATATTTTTTCGAAATTCACAGTTTTGATGATATCTGCGAAAAGCTGTTGAGGCGGCCATCTTAGAAAGATGGCGGCGTAGGCGGGAAAGTTTCGAATTGTGTATTTTAGTTCTACGCACCCAAACCGAGAAACCTGCAAAATTTCAAAACTTAGTTATTTTCAGGTAAAAATCCGCAATGACTGGCCTAGATAAAAGTGACAATGTTATACGGTAAAGGAGTAGCTTCACGAAATCTTGAACAAGGAGACAATCGGAAATCTTCCTTACCTATAGGTAGGGAGACTAATAATTAAGTTCCAATTCTAACTACTGAAGATGATACAGAAAAACATAGGACGTAATAAATGACTTTTAAAATCAGACTTTAAGTTTGTCGACTCATAAATTTTAATGGATGGATCTGATTCTTCTAAGTGATGGAACGTGGTATTCCAAGAGCTCTTATCGCTCGTAAGTTAAGAAGTAATAGCGACAAATTTAGTAGCACTATGCAGCTTTTACCATTAACTACTTATACATGTTGAAAGCCGTTCTCATAAGCATAGGAAAAGGTTCTTGCTCAATAAAAAGCTCTCATAAAACTCATATCACTAAGGGAAAAAGTAATTGGCCCTTATTTATTAATTAAAAATATAAAGTGGTATAGACAGATTTACCTACGTTTTATACAGACCAAGAAGTTATCTTTTATAAATCTAGAAATATGTTTGTTTCATTTTTAATCCTGCACAAGTATAAAGAGTACCTAATATAGCGAATTACCTACAGGTTTTACAAGGCACCCAAAACAGTAAGTATAGAAAACTTTTATACAAATATAATATTTTCAGAACTATATGTGTATAATTTTACTAGAATTCAACTTAATATTTCTGCCATATACCCCCATCTTTCATTAACCTACCATGGAATTTCGCACTAAGTGCCGAATTCCTTAGTGAGGGAAACAGTATGTGTATAAACAGCGACATTTACATCAAAGGTAAGAAATTGCCGTTCTGTACAGGTATCTAGGTAGAATGCAACAAACAAATAAATAAATTCTGTATGAAAATAGGTATAAGAGCTATTTACATACATACCGTTTATAGTTTTATTTGTTGCGTTTAAAGCCTTTATGATGACTATTGGCAACAGAAACAGCGAAACTAAGCGAATCATTTGATATATGTTTGGCAAACATTGTACGTTTTATGAAAAGATTTGGCGAATTTCTTAATTTTTTTGGAAATTTCTTTTCGAATTTATTATTATAAGTTTATTATTCTATATTATAGGCAAATTGTATTAACCTAATAAATCTTTATTATAAAAGACATTTCCCTAAATCACGTCATATAACACTAATACTTTTTTCTTTAGGCGAACATATTTTCCCAGTAATAAAAACTCGATTCGATTTTATGGTCGTTATTTCATATCCTGCAGTAAGGGAATTACGAAATAAAATAAACTGTACCTAAGGGACGCTGCTGTGACGCCATAGTCTCTGTCGTACAGAAGCTCGATATCCTTCATATGAAGCCATATGTGATACAACTTCTGGCACGGACAAAAACTACATTGTAGCAAAAGAATAATTACTATATAAATTTAAGTAATATATTGATTGTTCAGCTTTTTAATAAAACGCGAAAATGCGTATACACAATATGCTTGCTATACACAATAAATACAATAGTATGCTACAACTACTTAAATACATTTAAAATTCAATAGAAAGTTTTTGATTACCGACAATTAAAAAGCTAAACAACCAACTTCTAATAATAAATACACTTTTACAATATTACATGGAAAATTTTTAATTATGAAGACTTTACATCAGTAAAAGTGGTCGGTGTTTGTCAAAATTACTTCTAATAATTGTCAAGAATTGGATGCCAAAAGTCAGCTCGCTTCCTCCATGTTAGCCTACGTTTATCGAAGTTGCGTCGAATGACGCCAAGCCTGTACTATGTCAGGAGTTTGAAGAACATGATGGCCAGCGAGATGTTGACGAATAATATGAGGATTACCAGCTGTTGGCGCGAGAACCAATCCTGTAACATACATAAAAAGCAGTCATTATTTTGGCAGATGACATTCGTCGTTAGTGTTTTTCTTAAAATTTACTTTCTGAAAATGAAAATCTACCTATCGTGTGATGCATCGGTACGTACTGTGCGGATTCTGAACATTGTACCATGTAACTATCTACATTTGAAGCTTCACACTAAATGGAAAAAGATTGATGATTGGTACCTACAGTCTATTAGTTCCAGAATTAATGCACATCCTTTGTACCACATAAACTTGCACCATGTTTGAGTACTTTTCGTAAAATTCTATTGAGCATTTGAGTTTTGAAGCTAGTATCAAAATTTACACATAGCTCTTGATTGTATATTTAGATGGTACTAACCTATTTGGTGGTTTATGACAGACTATGGATTCAAGATTAATTTCAATGGCGATCTTGATTAGGCAATTGCATTCACCTAACTTGAACACTACGTTCCAAAAAGTCAATGATGCATAGGAAATTATCTCGCAAATCGCATTATTTTGATTCCAAGGAGGAAGTGCAACGCAGTGTATTGTTTTAGTCGGTAATTGACATGATCTTAATATATCGTTGTCAATCATCATAAAATAAAGCTGCCGTAACTGGATTAGAAGCAGAGGCTCTCTGGTCATAACCGAGCATCTTACTCTGACCAATTGGGCCATAATAAAGATATACAGTGTTATTATACCTTCAAAATATTATGAATATCGGAACTTTTTCAACTTTTAAAAAATCCGAAAAATGTAACGGGAGCCCGGTGGCGTATTTTTGTCCGATTTTTTGATTTCGTTAGATTTTCTTATAAATATGGTGGTAGTCTCCTATGTATATATTTCTTCATGTAGGGGCGGGTAGTAGAATAACCCTACCGTAGAGGGCACTGCGTGTCGTACAAGGCGACTCAACGGCCAGTCAGACGCAATTCCAGTGCTGAAGTTTGTAAAGGGCGTTAGTGCTTTGACCGATTATATCTTCTTTCCCATCTTGCGACATTTTTAAATGAGTTACTTTCATAGTTTGAAGTACCAGGGGGCCGAACCCGGATGCTACTTTCAGTTATGGAACCTTGCTGCGAAGGGGATTTGAGTTTCGCAATATTTAAGATTTGGTTAAAAATGGTGATCCTGGCACCATAGGCGATGTAATGATAGCGATTAAATGCTTGGATGGTGCAGGATAGACGATTGATTTTATACGAGTTTCAAGTTCTCACTGTAAATCCTTCAGTCCACTCCGCTTTGCCGTAATCAGTACTACATTGGGGGTTGTTTCTGTCCCCCAGTGTCAAAGCCAGGCATTTGTTGGTTGGGTGCTTAAGAGAGATGGCGTCCCCATGTACAATTTTCGTTGTTGTAGTGTCAGAGATGGACTCTTTCTACAACACTGTATGCTATTGTTTCTGCTTCAAATTACATACGATCCGTATTCGTAAGGGAAACGACTTTATGGTGGTTTTTTCAAATTCGAGTTGAATATATAATTGGGAGTTGCGTGGTTTTTTGAATTGAGTATTATGGGATTCTTATACAAGATGGTCCCATTTTTCCTAAACTTAGCCATTTTAAATTCCTTTAAATTCATTAGATCCCTAATGACTACAACGCTACATATTTTTTAAGTCTTAAGTTTAACGGATGGGTCACTAGTTAATCGAATGGGAAAAGTTACTGGTGTCAGTCTGATGGGCGATAACACAATTTTAATGTCTTTTACGTGACCAAAACAGATGAATCAGAATTACTCATAGTGATGCCACGACGCGGCGTGAGAAACGCGAACTGAGCGATCTTGAAACTTGGTGGGTTTTGATTAATGGCTTCTATACGCGTGTAATTGGTTTATATAGTCGCAATGGCCGATGTAATTTATTAGCGCCATTTTGGGACGTGTGGATAATTAAAAAGAGTACGTTTAAAAGAAATTCTACGCTAAGTTAAGGAAACGCGAAGTTAGAAATACTCTAAACACTTGGTGTACAATTAAAACGTTTGAAATTCATTTGGATTACGCAAGATCGAGCATTCCTCGAATTTTACTCTCCCCAATGTAACGTCAGCAAATTTTGGTTTTATTCCCCAAATCCTAAATAGAAGGTGATCAAGTTTCCCAAGGTTGGGCGACTCAAGGGGAGCTTTAGACACCCTATAACAGTGTATTTTCTACCTGTAGGTATTCAATACGGACTACGACCTTCAAGAAATTTAACGAGTAGATTTTTTAAGTTTAAACCGTAAATAGACTATTCTTCTCTCTTCTTCTCGATCCAATCATGTTGTAACTGTGTGAAACGCTTAAAAGGTATTATCCACTATATCCAATATTTGTGTATGAGCTCGGTTAGAAGAAGGTACGTTCAATATTAAGCGGCGGAAGTCTTCTAACTGAGTTATTTTAAGTTTTTGATTTGTGTATAAAAAACAGATATTAAAATACTGTTTCAATGAACGTTTTTTAGAGGGTTGTTTTTATTTATTTTTATTTTATTTTTTATTTTTGTATTGATGCGCCATCAAACTGGTCGAAGGCGGAAGGGATTAGTTTTTTGAATTTTTAAGTGGGAAACAAATAAGTCCATTTCACTAAGCAAATGGTATCAAAGTTTATTTTATTTTGGGCAAAAACCTAACACTACACACTACACTACTACACCAGAGACTTGTTATAACTAGACCGCGCCGTTGAGTGAAATTTCACTCAACGACCGCGCGTAACGTAGATTTTACTATAAACGCCTGTTGTCAAGATAGGATAGGCAACCAACTGTTCATCGCGGGGCAGACGTACGTTCTGCAGCTTGCTTTAGCCATGTTTATTCTAAATTTTAGTAGCAAAAAAAGATAACATATAGCTGTTAACTGTTTTAATCGAATTTATTGGTATTTTATTTGAACTAAATTGGTATATAACTGCCTTACTCTAGTCCTAATTTGATTTATATGTGTATTTTGGTGGTGAACACGTATGGGAAAATATACTCTTAAAACTAAAGATGCAAGTAGTAAGATACGATTATTTAGCGGATTTTGATTCAATATATGCCTATCTAAAAACCCAAATGGGCTGTAACTGTTATTTATTTTTCTTAGACTGCTGATAACCATTTTGTTTACAACGCGATGTGGTGTGGATTGAATGAAAAACCTGAACACATTTTCCGCAATTTGGCAAATTTTTAATGCATCGCTTGATACGTGCAACAATCCTCCACGATTTTTTCTAGTTAAAAGCTTTGAATGACTCTCTGATGCGAATATCGCATCTGCACATATGGAACATTTAACAGACTTAGCTATTTTTCTTGTAACAAAACCTGAAATATACTTAGTACCAGTAAGTACTTAGTTACGTCTATACCTAATAGGCAAATAGGTATTGCCGTTGTCTTGCTGGTAAAGGATGTCGAATAATAGTTCTACGTTATTTTAAGTGAATGGGAAAGTCGAAAACGCTCGTTATTGCATTATTGTTTAACACCTTCGTAGGTACCTTTCTAAAATCGGCTTCATTCCCCGCAAATGCACTATGGTGGGAGTAAATTTTTCTCTTCGAATGGCTCTGATCCATTGGCCCTTTAAACTTTTATCCGTTGAAAATCAGCATATTATTTAAAAATGTATCGACAGAGTACATGTTGATAGGCACAAGTTAACCTAAGTTTATTGGTTTATTCTCAACAGAAATTTATCTGTTCACTAATTCGAGCTAATCACGAGAATGATTAATGAACGGAACATCTAAAATAACAGCTTATTTCATTATACTGCATATCATCTCAGCGATTTTTGCCCCGCGGTGCATTGTGTGTTGCATACTGTGTCGACAACACCTTAGATACGTTAAGCGCAGTCTAGTTATAGCAAGTCTCTGTACCTACTACACAGACGACGTTCTATTTGCATCGAATTTACGCGAGTAAATAATGACTACAAGAACATTATTCAATCACGTAGTAAAACAGTTAATGCTTTCATTAAAGTTCACATTCCAATTTGAGGTTTTTGTGTGAAGTTATCACTAACGGTCAACGGAAATAGGGCTCTATTTAACAAAATCGTTACGGCCAAACTATTGAGCTTGTATTTTTAGCGTGTTTTTCACACAATATTAGGTCGGCGCCAATTATATATAGTGTTATAAACTAATATCCGTCGTTAATGTCAAAAAGACGCCGACAACTATACTAAAATATGTATAATTAAGCTCTAAACTGTGAAAGGTCTTTAACGTTCCCATTTCAGATATCCCCTTGATAGAATACACTTTCCCTGAAAACTATAGTCTCAATAATTCAAGGAAAGAAAAGTGAAACAGTAGGGAGAATCACAAATTTTGCTTGCAATAGAGCCACTGTTCAGATAAAATATCGTTTTTTGCTATGATTCAAGTGAAGTGATATACCGCTAGGCGATCGATAACGCAAGATATGCGTCAGTTTCCGATTAATTGGATTCGTTTAAGAATCGGCCTAGGACGAAGTCCAATGGATTAAGTAAAGAGTAAAGATGGGGGTTGTAACCTATTAGCGCCATTTTATAAGGGACTTAAGGGGAGTTTAGAAAGTGACCTGGGTTGAAGTAGGAATTTTTCATCTGTTGCAGAGATGGGAATTTCCTTAGATCAGTTTAGAGCAGGGGTCGGCAATCTATTGAAACAGAAGAGCCAAAAATTACAACTTATAAAATCTCCCAGTTTTGAAAGAGCCACAAAAAAAATTTGATTTAATATTATAGTATTTGGCTATATACAGGGTCTTGCAACAATGCGTCGGTTTTTCCTACATAGCTGATACCTGGTAAAAAATATTGGTGGTTGCGGATCTACAGAAATTATTTTTGCATGTACAGGGTGTCCCATTTTTACGATGTCAATAAATAACTGATCTTTTTAAATAGAACATCCTGCATATTTTTACTTGTTTCAATGCCATTTGTTCAAACTGCTATAACTATTCTTTTTCAAATGGAACTACTACTGTTTTATTTCGCTATTCGATTGTCTTTTGCGTTCTCTTCAATGTTTATAAGGGGTGCCCTGTGCTTAAACCCCGCAGTTTTTATGTTATTCAATATTTTTCACAAAAGTACCTACTCATTAATTAATTACGTGTTTATACATCGGAGTAGGCTGCTATAATAAAAAAACAAAAGAATACAAGAAAGTAAAGGTAAACAGGTGTCACAAATTAGATAATTATTTGCTGCAAGTGTACTTTTGATTTGGTAAACAAATAAGATTAATTAAAAAGGCGAATTTCGAACAAATGAAGTAATTTCTTTAGATAAATACGGAGAGCCGCAACTTTATATCAAAAGAGCCGCACAAATAAAATTAATTAAAAAGGCGAATGTCGAACAAATGAAGTAATTTCCTTAGATAAATACGGAGAGCCGCAACTTTATATCAAAAGAGCCGCAGATTGCCGACCCCTGGTTTAGAGCATTCTGCTGGCTACTCCGAATTAGGTCTTCCTCTTTCTCCCTCTTCAAGAGGGAGAAGAAATAAATAAATCAATAAATAAACAGCGACAATGACTTCCACTTCTTCGTAGACGCAATTAAAATCTGCGATCTGATGCGATCCACGGAAGGGAGCGCGCTCCGAGCGATCACCATGTTACTACAGGGACTTGCAGGAACCTGGTGGCGGGGTGTTACAACTTTCGCCTAGGTAACCGCGCTTCTAAAAGAGAACTTCGTACCGGACCTCCCAACGCACCAAATCCTAAGAAAATTCTTTGCTTCGGACCAGGCGGAGAAAACAGCCATAGAAAGGTTTGTGGGTGAGAAACGCGCTCCATTCGCTAAGATTTCCCGAGATGCGCAATAAAATTAAGCTTCCCAGTTAAGCATATGATTTATGGGCTGTTGTGCTCTTGAGATCGTCCCGCGCAGCAACCACAGCTCACCCACCACGCCACCACACAATCCGCAAAACCACTACTTAATTGCTATGGTTGTGGAACTCCAGGAGTAATGAGCAGTAACTGTTCGACATGAAGACGGCCAAAAGGAGCGCACGAAACAACCATGTTTTGCACCGTCAACTTTGAGCTTACACCACTTTGGCAACCGACCATCAGACGTTAAAGTGGCTTATGGCCATAAAAACACCGACAGTACGCTTTTCAACCTCACCCTCCAGTACATACCAGCGAAGAGCAACGTGCACCATCTGCACGGTTACCGTAGATATACCCATGCGTCCCTGAAGTGAAATCTGACAATGACAGCTGGCTGATTCAGAACTGAAAGAGATCATAGAATGTTTTGCAGTACCCTCAGGCACCCCAGAAGAGTACTCCCGATGGGCTGAGGAGGATATCTTAAGAGGCAAGGACGCCCTATTAGTCGTTCCTGACGCCAAGCGAAAACAAGTGCACAAGAAATACCACGACTCAACGCCCCTACGTACTACGTATGTAACTGCGTTTTGCTATGAACTCTACCAAGAATCAACCTACGGGATACTCAGCCGCACGTCTCATCTTTAGTCGTGATTTCAGAACAACAGATGACGTCACCCGGGATCAGAGATAGCTTCCTCCTAGAGATAACTTTCCATCTGTATTTAATTGCTCACCGGGACCAGGAGACCAAGGAAACCCCAAAAAACAGAGCGAAGGAGTATGCAGACCAGAAACGTCGGGACGTCCCCACATTCGCCCCGGGAGACCTAGTCCTCGTCAATGTGCATACCCTCGCAACACAGCCAAAGGTATATCCGCGAAGCCAGACAAGACGACCCTTATCGCATTCTGCAACAAATCCCCCCAACAAGCTACAAAGCAGCTGACCCAGCGACTCCGCACCAGGCGATTGGTAATGTTGCTGCACAACCCTACCTCGGAACGAAAGCACAGCAACCTAATGGGCTTGGTATGGTGCAGAGGATTCCCTAGGAAGATGCAGTGGTCGTGGCTCCCTCGTCAGGACGTCTGAAGGAGCCAGAGGGGGAGAGTGTAACGTATCCTTAACCCCACCTTCCCTAAATTACACATAAGACTCCTATGCGCGTCTACTTATAGCAACGGAACGGTCAGGAAGGTAGGCTCAAGCTCGGTAAGTTTCAGCCAGACCGGACCCATACAGACGCCTCGGTGGCTTACGCGAATTCTAGTGCCACGGCAAGCAAATCCCGACCGCAATCAAACTTGTTTACGGTAGTTCCTATTGTGTTTTCGATTGTACATAAAAAAGTCGTGTTAAGGTGTAAATAATCGGAATGCATACTTATAAATGAATAGTCTTGTGCGTGGACATGTGGAGAATTTTTCCACTCACCCTTCCAGTAATACTATTTCTTTGTTGTCACATATGGCATATACCGGGTGATCCTAGATAACTGCAGACAGTTTAAATTTGGCGCGTAGTGTTTTTTTACTTAAGGCATTGGCAAACATGTTTAGAAAGTGGTATATTTATGCAGTAATCGCCATAAATTAGCGTCGTTTTTTATATGAAGTTTTATTTTCTTGTCTCTACGGCGATCGGTGCTTTTTAAAGCAAACAGTTCTCTCCAAAGGTTCTTTGCAAGTGCAACAAAGGTACATAGGTACATTAAGAGAAAATACTTTACAAGGAGCATGTAACCTTACTTTTTTAGCTTAAAGGGGATATTGATTTATTCATTTTTAACGCGTAGGTACTATCATTGTTTTTAATTAAATAATTGTGATTATTGTTTAGTGATCCATTAAATTGATCCACCACTGCTTTTAAATAAATGCTGTTTTTTTGTTAAAATAATCAAATTTTTCAATCCTACAAATTGTAATTTTGTATATGAAATTTTTCGAAAATGCGGCCCTGGATAGTAGTTTTGTTGTCACCCGTTATTTATCGTGTTCCTATATGGTTCAATAATTTTATTGCTATTTTTAATAAAGTAGATATACTGGATAACCATCCTCGTCAATGTTCTCTTCATCGACAATCGTCCTCTTTCTCTTCTACATTCGTCCTTTCCATTTCCCCTTTGTATGCAGTTCTTAACCGATGGTTTTCTGATTCGGTTTAGATAACGTCTTGAATAAGATAGGAGCACAACTTCCCATAACCGGTTTGCTGTACCTATCTATGATGTAACCTGGTCGGGTTACCCGGTTACGTTTTATCTATCATTGAAAATATGCAAATAAAACAATTCAAACTTAATACAGCGATGTATCATGACAATACAGGAACAGTTTGTTTCGCTGAAAACCTTTAGCAATTGCTAATTAATACCTGCGCATATTACCTACACTACAAAAAAACGCGTTTTTCTATGCTTAAACCTAAAATGTGCGATTGTAAACGTCCTATTATATTCAATCTACAAAACAGTACAGTGACCAAATGTATTTCTACGATTTATATATCACATCGAATATGGTGGCAAAGTCACAAAGACCACAACTGATTTGCTTTTCGCCAAAGCCTCTTGGCTCTTATGAGAATAGTGCAAAAATGAAGCTTAAAAATGTATGAATGAGTGAGTATTTGCTTTTTGCTAGAGCATTCATCAAAAAGAATCGTCATGCCCACCGTGCAGAACGCAGCGTGCATTTTTAAAAGCTTTGCGCCTTCAGCAAAAATTGTGACTTCGATAAAAAAAATAAATCAACCAAAATGTTTAGACTGAACCTAGGTAGTTAAATAAAGAAAGTATATGACGTGAGCGTTATTCAAACATTAACAGCCAATTTACAAAAACAAACATCTAAATGAATATATATATCTATAAAACTAACATACCTATCAGTTCTCTGTAAGACGGTAGCAAGGAAAACAAATACGAAAAAAGTCGTTTTAGAGTTTCGTGATAAACACAACTATGTACATGAGTCATCGTTACAAACATTTAACAACAAAATTAAACCTAGGTAAAGTCAAACTTAAAAAGTGCAAGGCAACAATAGAAATTAAATGTATGTATTGAGGTTCGCTGAGAAGTCAAGACTGGTATGCAGAGTTAGCGCAGATCTACTGATGTTTATTTTTAGCAAAATAAACACAATGTTTTTTTTTAATTTCGATATTGCGCCACTCCTTGCAGTTTACAGCGTAGCAGTATTTTGATATTAGAAAAGAGGAAAATAATGATAATAAAAATATAAATACCTTAACTTGTGGACTAACTAAATATAGTAGGGGATTTGCACGTAGTCGTTCTTTTTCGTCTGCCATTCGTCGAACTTCCTCCCGTCGCGCCGATCCTAACGCCGACACTTCCTCCCTGGACATTCCCTCCGAAGCTTTGGGCAAGACTTGTACGTCAGGAAGGGATTTCTTACGTTGCAAGGTAGTCTGCTCGACCAGGTTCTAGTAACACATCAAGAAACCTTTTCATTTTCACTAACTTACAGACGCACAATTTGCACATCATGCTACCTCCACGGGCGGAGTGTCAATCCAACTTTCGGATGCGCGACGAGCCATGAGAGCGGGGGAATATAGCAAATCCTCTTCCTCATCATCGTTTTGGTACCAAAACATTGCGTTTAAGTGTCACAACCTGCAGAGCCGGCCAGAAGCAGAACACACTGAATTAAGGAATACAATATAGGTTTTATATTTATCCGACCGGTTCTGCCAACGGGGACACATTTAGCTACTGAACGTCGGCGTCGCATCGTTCCCCTTGGCGTACTCCCAAAGCTCGAAGCAATCCGCTCGTGAATCGTAACAGTTATAAACGTTCAAATGCTATTAGTACATTTTTGGAACGAGGCCACTAACCTTGACGACGGGAGCAGCTCCTAGATTTATGTATAAACTTTCCGTACGTTTCGGTTGATTTAACGACGGAACAATGTCTTGTCCCAAACCTCGCTTCCTAATGATGACATCTTCGAACGGGGGCATTTGGAGGGAATTATTGGAAGGCATCGGAGATATATTCAATTTTATGGGATTTCCTGTTAAAACGTTACCATTCTTGGCGGGCATCGGTGTTGGTGTCGTTCCTCTCGCGACAGATGGCGCTCTCGACATTCGTTCCGGTGTATTCGTGGCGCCAGAATTGATTTCGACCGACGGTTGCCTGGAACCACTGGCACTAAGTCTTCCCGTAGCCCTCGTATACCTATCTACACTAGAGTCTCTACTTGGTGGTCGCTTGTAATGATCAAAGTAATCTATAGAAGTTTGATTGGGTACCCATCCGACGTTTGGTGGCCGATCTCCCGATACTCTTCGCGACATTCGCCTTATCGCAGATGCAGCTTGGTCGTCCTCTCGCGTTATGGATTTTCTTCCTCTGATATCCTTATCAATAGTGGGTTTTACGTCTACCAAGTTACTAATTATATTTGCGCCGTAACTCGCCGAATGCGTTGGATTTGGTTGCCCTTTTTCCGCGTACAAATTGTTTGATTGATACGCGTTTTGATTATATGTTGGAGCACCTATTTTATTTTGTTCTAAGACGGAAGTGTGATTAGGAATTTGACTTGAGTATTGATTTTTACTATCTGGAGATTGATTCATTATCTTATTTGGTATTTGGTTAGAAATTTGACTATTAATTTGACTAGGCAATTGATTATGTATTTCGTTAGCAATATTACTAGTTAAGGAAGAATCTTTTGGATTGTTATACGAGACGAATTTCTCGCGATGCCTCGCCTTTAGTCTTTCCAATCCTGGCTGCTTAAAGTCCGGCGCGTATTGTCTAGCTACGGCTTGAGCGACGTCGGAATCGCTTCTCGCGTGATCCGCCGCAATGTCCGCTTGTTCGGCTTTGCCTCTTGCTGTAGCTGTGCGAGATATAGCAATGTCGGCTTTTTGCAGGGCAATTTTTGAAGCTCTTTGAGCCGCGTTAACCGCCGCATCGATGCGTTCCCGAAATTTCGCCGAGCGCATCAGGAATAAATGTTTTTTCTTATTACTCGTTATGAGAACATTATTTTTATATTTTCCCTCTTCCTTTTCGCCATTGCTGAAAGTGGTGACCCCATATCCGTACTTCTTGTTCGCATACCACTCACCCTCATATTTTAACCCGTCGGAACGTTCACTTATACCGAATCCACTGCGTTTGTCATTTTTCCATTCCCCCATATACGTTTCCGTGACGTTTGCGTCCATGTGTTCGTCCTTAAAATAAATCAAAGATGATTACGCTTAACGTAATGCAGTATTTTTACCTCCACGACAAAGCTGGCATTTGAGTCGGTATGTAAGGAAGCATTTGTCATTGCTGATTGTGCCGAATCTGTACTCATCCACGATGCTGTCGAACCTGTTGATCGTATACTACCATTTCCTTTTTCTAAATCACCAGTGCTTCGTTGTTTTTTCAGTTTCAAACCCTGAAATTAAATATCTAACAATTAGTCACATACCTATAACAGAAATTATAAAATTAAGCACAAAGCTATTTTCCAACATTTGTTATTACGATTACAAAGCAAAAAGAACAGTCCATTCCCCCATTTTTCCAATAATCTCAACGTAGATATTGGTAGTGAAATAGTTTATCACCAGGAGTGGAAAAAATAGGGGAAAGCTGAATGTTTGCATGAAACTTCCTTTTGTGGTTCTAAATCCCAAATATCCCCGCCGATGGATGGACTGGGAAAACGCACCACTCAATTTGTAAGACTGTATTACCATTTTATTATAATATGCAATGAAATGGAGCGCTTTCAGATGAGACACGAGTGCTCAAGTAGATAAGAGTCGAAACGTCACAGTGTTGCCACGATCTCACAGACTTCAAAAGTTGCGGATAGCCGAGCACGTGATGCAAATACGGGATTTGTATTGGTTATAAAGGCACGCTTTCCGTAAAAGGCTGCGGTCAGGAAAAGGGGTCGTTGCGGATTTTTAGAACGGCAAGTACATAAGTGAAAATTGGGTTGGAGACAAGGATTCTTCATACTTTTAAAGCGAAACTATGTGATTCGAGCGCGTCAATTGTAGATCGCGTAATAATTGTTTTCAACGGAGAGCTTCGAGACGAGTTGGAGAAGGATTCCTTAAATCAGATTTTACGTGAAAACTGTGCCGAAAGTTCGACAAAATTATTGCTGGGTGTATTTTAAATTCGTTGCGAGTCGCTATTAAGTTAATTCATATAAAGTGGCGTATTTAAGGAGGAACTTTTTCGTGTAGTAGCGGTATCCATACGTGAACATTTTCATTTCGGTGCACTATTAGATTATTGTGATCGCGCTTAAATAAATTATTACCATGAAAGCGTTGGGGTCCAAGGAGCAAAACATTTCGTTGCGCTACATTTGGAGTGGACAGTTGCGTTAAAAAACCAAATTATTAGTCATTAATAATAAAACCATTCCAGTAAATAACACTAAATTGGAACTAATAAGTTGCGAGGAACGCACGGGCTTGTTCTAGCGATACAGAAAGTCCGAAAAAAAGACGTTCCACCATACAATTTTCCAACTTGCTATTACCTTTCCAAAGGAGAAAATCACCTGTCAATGGGAGAATATTTCAACTCATCGATAAATGTAAATCAAAATACATTGTACCAACATAGGAATCGACCGTTTTTGGGGATTTTGGATAAGGAATTTATACTTAAAAGACATTCTAACATTCCTGAAGAGGTCGATTTACGGGAATTCATCCCGTGATTGTGTATTTGTTATGAATGATAAGTGAACCCAACCCAAAGATATTGGTAAAGTTTTTCGCTGCGACGTTTCGTCTTTGAGAAACCATCATCAACTTCATATTTTTATATAAACCGGAAAAAAGTACATAATGTATTGAGTAGCATTTTTTATTACGGGTACAATTATGTATGGTACAATATGCCATTTAGAAGAACAAATTATTTTGACTTTTGTCAACGTCTACTAAACCAAAAATGTTAAAAATTTAGTAACAAGCCATTTTTCTGAGCTAAATAATAAATAATTTTTAACATTTTACAGTAGTAGCCGTTGACAAAATATCAAAATAATTCATTGATGGTTCCTTTAAATGATATAGGTGATACTGATAAAGAATCTTATTGTGCCATACATAGTTGTTGGTGGTTTCTCAAAGACGCCAATTGTACAGCTTAAAAAGTTCCTATGAGGAAATGGTATTTGTTTTTTGATATCTTTTCAAACAGGGCCGGCAAAAAATAAAACCGAATATGATTAATTTCGTTTTTTTTCGGAACAGATCGGAATTTACAAATTTTTAAAATATCATTTGACTTGCTTGTTTTTCCTTCTTATATTGGGCACACTGTATATATTACATTACCATAAGGAGGCAAAAGGGGGGAAGGGCAGAGATGAAGGTAATATCACTTTGTAACGACCCAGCTATTCACAGTCACAGTACGTACAGTTTAACAATCTGGAATAATATTTGTTTAAATAACCGGAATTTTTTTCCTAATACACTAATGTAAAAGAAATTTTTTCATGGCCAATTGCGCCTCCCCGGTAGCTGCGCCCTTGGCGAGCGCTCATCTCGCCACCGCCTAGATACAGCCCTGCATGAAGTACATCAAAATTGTAATTCACAAGCAATGTAAAGAAAACAATGTATCTAAACATTTATTTGAAAGTGGTCAAACCAGAGCATCAGGTTTTAATTTTCAGATGAGTGGGGATAAAAAACCCAACTTTCCGCAAAGTAAGAATCATCGATAATTTATTCATTACTGAGCTAACCGTGGCCTTTCATTACAAAAAATTAATTGTTACAATAAAGTTTTTACCAGTGCCGTAGAGAATAAAAGAAGGGTTTCTAACCCTTGAAAATGTAACTAAGCTAGTAAATCCGGTCGAATAATTAACGATAGGCGTACGTGAAGCGTGAAAAATTGTATTAGAAACAAAAGATGCTTTTTGTTTAAAGTAGACGTCAGACTCCAAAGTTCCGTTGGTTCTCTGATCTGTTTAATATAAATAGCTGAGCACAAGCGAGCCGAAGGAGTAGTGTCGCTTTTCATCCGCGCGTTACAATAGCGGAATTAATTAAAAGTGAATAATCTGCGGCCGATTTATTACAATTTGCATATATAAAAATTCGATTAGCGATTTCATTGTAACTTGTGTGTAAATTGTTGCTGACGTGTTTAGTTTTATGTGTTATGGTAGACTATTACCTAAATATTTTAATACCCGAGTATAAAGCGATTTAATGCAATTGAGAAGATTACATAAATCACAAGTGGTAAATATACGCGACGGAGAGTTGATCAGTTAGCAAATAGTTAATAGAGCGTACGTTTATAAAAAAAAGAAATAATCGTATAGTCGCGGCGATAACACAAATGTGATTTCGAGATGAAACACGGCGGAAGTTAGTGCCCGTGAAAGGTATACGCGAAATATTCGAAGTGCCTGCATTGCGTATTAAAAGTATCGATACCGAATTCCGATGGGGAAAAACAACTTAATCACTTGATTACCATAGCAACGATATAACAAAAACCTCGAGAATGATGAAATTGGTCGAACATTAGTAAAAGGCGCATTATTGAAGATAAGACTACATCTTTCAAAATTTAAAAGAAATCCTTAAATGAAATAATATATAGGATGTTCAATTTAAAATAAGCAAGTTCGTACTATCTTCGGGTATAGCCGGAAATTCCACCAGCTTGAAAATATTTTAGATGAATTTACCTTATTGACATTAGTGTACCATCAAATTTTAATATTCCAAGGTCTCCTGTTCGAGATATAGGTAACCAGCGTTCATCGTAGGACACCCTGTATACCGCTTTCTTAACAATGAACGTACAATTCAATTTATACCTATGTTCATTTATAAAATACACCAGATTACTTGGGAAGTGTTATACTTTTCCATCTTTGGGTACCATGTAATTTTTTTAGTTTGGGTTAATATTTTTCTAATTTACTGAATATATAGTTTCTAAGTATTAATGTAGCTTCAGGGAAAGAAAAATTTATCGGGTACTTTCATATTCATAACCCTTTTAATCTGAGCTAGCCTAGAAGTAAAGTACGAAAAGTAGGTTCACACGTACCTACTAACAACGAAGAAAATTGCAAGAAACATTTAATAAATGAAACCACCAACCTGAAATCTTTATCAATAATTGTGTTGCAATATTGAAGACCATGATGGTGATGAAAACTAATCAGTTTTGTAAATCGAATATATTATATACGCACCGCTTTTTATTCAAATTGCAACACTCAGAATTATTGTGTTATGTGTAGTATATAGTTCAGGTAAGTTTAATAGGGATAATCTCTGTAATAGTTTGTCGCTGTAGGCTTTTTCTGTTAAATTTACAAAATTGCCAGTGTAGAAAATGTGTGCCGCTTCATAATGAAAGAGCTAATATTCGAGAAATTAAAGCGCGTTCGGATAAGAAACGAGTGTGAGATAAGAGTAGAAACGTTACAGTGTTGCCGGTTCTAAAAACCGTCGCTACGGAGCATGAAAGGGGAATTTTTTGCTATACCTTCGCATGTAAAAAAACAATGTGAACGCTTGATTTGGTTTGGGGTCATTTCGTATTTGGGATTCGGGGTGTACTTAAGTCAAAATGGGGTGGGAGAACGGCGTTCAACCGAACCTTTAGGGCAAACGTAACGCAAGCGCGTATAGATCGTGTAAAAGGGGGGTTTTCAAGGCGAATGTTATGAGTGGGATATGCAATTTTTTGAGATTGTGTAAAATTTCATTCTTAATCAAAAGTTCAAACCGCAAGCCGTATAACCGCAGTGTATCAGAGAATCGTTAGCCGTCCCTGTAAGTTACAACCCTACAAATAAGTGGGTATTTGTACACTAAATCAAAATGTGCCAAGATCGAAATTTGTGCACCAAATTTAGCTGGTACAATGCGTTCGACAACCAGGAGGAAAGGCGACGTGCTTTGGAGATCATAAGGTTTCAGTGGTATAGAAGAAATATGTCACTTATCGTTTAATGTTCTAAAGAAAGTTTTTACACTCTCGGATTCGCAATGAATGTCACAGTTTTTTAAATAAGCATCAACGATGCCGAGGACCGTTCAGAATTCCGTTGCATCATTTTATTTATTATCAAAGTCATCAAATTCAATGTAAAAGCCGAACAAGAAATTAACTGTAAGCGTCCCTTTTTTGTAGAACGTAGGTAGGCACTTCCCAACAAAAGCACTCAAAATAATTTCTTTTTATGTTACCAAATGAACCACGAGAAAGTACAACACTCTGATGACAAGCACCATTTCTCTAACGCATTTATCTGACGATGACATTACACCATAATATAAGCGTTAAAATTGTGCTTCGATCCATGTCGTCAAGAGCTGTTAGCTATCAGGCTGTCAGTTTCAGCGTTTTCACCACAATTATTACTAGGTAAAGGAAACA